AATAATAATTTATTCACAGCCAAACTGTCTTTACTCCTTCAAGAAGAGACAAGACATGAAGGAATGCACAGTATTGCTTTTACTCTTATTTTGTTTCCATCCGTATTACAAAGACGTTACGCCTTAACGAGCGTGCCAAAAGCTGAGTCACACCCACGGGGGGCAACATTTGAGACCACACAAAATCATTTGACACTCAATTTGGGATGCGGCTAAATTAGGTTTTCACACCAGAGAGAGACGCAGCGATGCTTCTGACTGCGTTCTGCTTTCATGAATATGTGCTCATGCAGATTTTGAATCGTCTGCTCGATCAAATATATTGAATTTAAGTGGTTTTGTTTCCATTATGTTTGGAATAAAATTCACTTATTCTAGGTTTCAAAAAAAAAATCAGAATCATCCTGTTGATGTTTTTCCAAATGGAGAGATAATTGCACGAACACATCCTAATGTAATCAGACAGTTTTTAATTGAAACGTGCTTCTTGTCTGAGTGTTTGAATGCAGGAACCAATCATGTAGCCACAATACATCTGAAAGGAGAGCAGACAAAGCATCTCTAAACATTCTGAACTATGACTAAGGTGACTTTTTTGTAATTTTAGGTGTTCACAGTAGCCGTATAAAAACTATTTTGTTGAGCTCTGGCCCTTATTTTGCAAACCAGACTTGTCTATTTCACGGTTTGGTTTAATATGCGACAAAAAGAGGGGTTTTTGTTGGTAACACTCAAATTAAAGTGAAGACAAAGAAGGATATTTATAAGTAATGGGCTGCTTTGAGGGGTGGCACGGTGGTGGGAGTTTGCATATTCTGCCTGTACCATGTGTGATAGACTGTCCAGGATGTAGCCTCCCCCGATCAGCTGGGATATCCCTCCCACAACCTTCCACAGGAGTGAGTATAGCAAATGAATGGATGAATGAATGGATGGATGACTGCACTGAATAAACACAAATCAATGCACTGATTAATAGAGAAGAGTAGAACTCTTTGTATTGGCACTACTTGCAAATTTTTGTTTTTCATATCAACATAGTTAACTATTAGTTTATTCCCTTTTGTGCTTTGTTTTTCAATCTACATTTATTAGACTGTTCATTCAGAGGCCTTATTGCATTTCATACTGACTTAATACCAACTATAGTTACATTACTGCTTGGAATGTGTTGCCTTAATGTTATTGAGCGAATAGAGAGCATGTTTTCTTGTGAAAATAGTGGCAATATCATCTATTAATGAACTAAATCCTGCTGTTTTGAATACCTTCATTCCATCATGGTTCAAACATGGAATGCTTTAAGTGAGGAAGGCAGGCAGGCGCTACCAGGACCAGGAAGTAGCCTCAGGAACACCTGCATCGCAGGTACAGGTTTTCTTCGATAAGTGCGTCAAATGCCAATTTTACGCACTGGTTCCAAACAGTGAAATAGCTCACATGTATACAACATGATAAGCTTTTCTAATCTGCACAACCCAGCCTCAGCCACTAGGTAATAACCCGCTACTGTACAAGCTGGCAAAAAAAAACAGACGACTTCCTCATACAAACACGATTTACAACCGCTCCGGGACGCACAGCACGAACGCAGCGCAGATCACGCAGCAACCGGATCGTGTATTTATCTGGTTCATGCTATAAAGTTCAGGCAGAGGACCTGTGGCAACAACAGGTGTCACCCTCAGCTCTTCCGCACTGTGCACTCACCTTTGTGTAATATAACATCCACAGCTCATACAGCCTGTCCGTCGATGCCATTCCGCCGCCCTTGTGGTTGCTCATGCTCTCAGCCCCCTTTTTTAAAAAAATGTTTCTGTCTTTTTACAAAATCATGAAAGTGGTGAGCATATGGTCAAAGCCAGGGCTGTTGGAAGTTGTTTCCTAAAGGCAGGGGGACGCGCGGCACGCTCCTGTGAACCATTCCTGCAAATCCAAGGCGCAGCAAATCCAAATAAAAAAGTGCTTTCAGTCTCAAAGTTATCAGAGTGACGCCGAAAACATGACGAGCGCGGAGCCCCGGTGAGGATCAGTGTCGCAACTGTCAAAGCAGGAACAAAAATGCGTGGAAATGCATGCCTGGAGGAACACCCATGTCCGCATTTAGCGAGCTTGTTGCTGTATGATTCCTATTGGAGAGAGTTCCCACGGAAGCGACAGATGCCATCCGCGCAAGAGCGAAGAAACGACTGCGCTCCGCCGTATGGATTCAGTCCGCAGAGGTGGAACAGTCCTGGCATGATGTGTGGTGATGATGAGCAGCAGCAAATTCAACTACTGTGTGACTCTGTTAACAAGAAACGCAGGGAAGAGTTGGCTGTAGATCATGCTCACAGGTAGGCTGCTATTCTTAAAGACACACGCACATATAAACACAGCCTGGACTCGTCTGGCTGACACGAGGAAGTCATTGACAAATACGCCTTTCAGTGAGGTCTGCCCATTGATAAAAGGAAAATAAACAACAACAACATCAAAAATAAACAGAATTATTGGGACAAATCTGCAATATAAGACTGAGAAAACCCATGCATGTGTGCAAATCCTCATATTTTCCTTGAATAAAAGCTCGTGTTGTGCAATTTCTGCAGCCTGAGGTAGAAACTGTCAATTTGCACATTCATGCTGATAACATAAAGACACAAACACACCCGTGAGCTGTAGAGGAGGGTTGAATGATTTGGAGAAAATACATAACTGCAATTTTCTGATAAATATATTATTTTAAAGCATCAGCTCAGTATTTATTGTATTTTTTTAAAAATGTATTTCTTTATATTCTAATGCAAGGGTGGGACCTTAAAGCTAGAAATTAGTTCAAACATGTATTTATTACATTTTAAGTTGCATAAGAGATTGAACAATTATCACAAAAGCTGTGACTGATAATGCTAAATTAAATAATTCCAATAAGAAAATAATATAATTTTGCTGTAAACAGTCTGAAATTGAAACAGGTAGGTCATTCATGACGCAGGAGCAGCATTTAGGTATCACACATCCTGCAATTAGCTTAAATTAAGTAATAATAGATGTGTCTTCTAATTGTATTGTTTCCAATGGCGATTTCGATTTGGCTGCAGGGTGGCGCAGCTGGTTCTCTCCAGGTTCTCCGGCTTCCTCCCACACAGTCCAAAAACATGTTGAGGTTAATTGGTGATTCTAAATTGTCCATAGGTGTGACTGTGAGTGTGCTTGGTTGTCTGTCTCTAAGTGTGGCCCTGTGATAGACTGGCGACCTGTCCAGGGTGTCCCCTGCCTTCGCCCTAAGTCAGCTGGGATAGACTCTAGCCTCAGCGCGACCCTAGTGAGGATTAAGCGGTGTATAGATAATGGATGAATGGATGGATTTCGATTACAGCTACTTGTAATAGTTCCTCCGATGCCTCCAAGGGCTGTGATAAATCATTTTTGTCCTTCATTTTATTGAAATCCTCATGAAGACTGATCCTGTAAACACTGGAAGGTTGGTTAAAGAGGCTTCACACAGAATGATATTGAAAATAAAATGGAAATAGGAAAATAGCCAAATAACTGGATGTGGTCATTCAAAATATTCCTCCAATAAAGGTATGACCTGGAACGTTTGCACAAGTGTAAATGAAAGATGCATTCATTGTGAAGAATGGCCCCTTGCTGAGACATTTTATTGGAAGATGCGTGACCTTCTAACAAGTATCTGCTAGCTGAAGGCAGCAATTAACCCGTTTATTTCACAAAAACACACTTCACATGTGATTACATTTCCCTTAAAAAAAAAAGTGCTAATTTTTCTTGAATCAGGCTGCAACTAATTATTATTTTTATTGTCAATAGATATTCCCACTATTTTCTCAAAGGAATTCTTGTTTTGTTTATAAAATGTCAGGATATGATGATTAATGTTGTTCAATGTCTCCATAGCCCAAGATGAAAAATGTCTTGTTTTGTGCACAGCCCAAAAATAATTAGTTTACTCCCATAGAGGAGGAAATAAACCAGAAAATATTCAAATTATGAAGCTGATAATGAGAGAATTTAGATTTTATTTTCTCTTTAAAAAAATAATACGATTTTTTAGTGACTAATTTAATCGCTGATCTAATTGAATTGATTCATTATTGCATCACTGTTCTCAAATAAGACATGCAAGGTGAGTGTAAACAGTTGGGTTTATTTTTTTACCTGAAACATATAAAAACATCAGGTTTATGTGCCAACTTGCACGTAATTTGGTGTTTTTTTTCTGTCTCTATTGCATCATGTTTTGTTTGAGTTTCTCATATTTTTGCCATATTGTACATGTACATCAATATAATGGTAATGTGTCCTTTGCACAGTATTGTCCTGAAACTGAAAACTGCTCTTTATTGCTGGACTGAGATTGCTGCATTGAGTGTGTGGTTTACAGCATAGACAGAGATTTCTATCAACTTTATATTTAATCTGGGGGATAGTTTATCTCTTGATGGGCCACTAACATGTATTACACATGTCTGTTTTATCGATTTGTAGATGTTATCCTCATAGTTTTATGGTCATCACCTTGGTAACTTCTTCAACACAACCAGGTTTGTGTTGTCACATGAATGTTGATCGTTTGGAAGATGGACATAGTGAAGCTCGAGGCAGCTGTATTACCATGGCAATGGCCTACATTCCTCACCAGGGCCGGACGCTATGATCATGAGCAGGCGGGACCCAGTACCAGCCTGTCCTATGCATGGTTGGTCTTTATTTACATTAATGTATAGGCTTGTTCTTAGCCAACAAGTGCATTAAAAAAAAAACTTTCAAACATAGCCTATAGCTACTAAAACTGAAATCAATTCAATGATTATTCAATGTGTCAATACATCCAACACTGACCCCCACATCAGCTTTTTATATTTTTCTTGGAAAATCTGATTTTCCTAAATAAAACCTGTTTTTAAATAATGAATGTTTCAAATTCATTAACGTAGTATTTTATTCTTAGGAAAATTGTCAACAAAACAACTAAACTCACATGATCAAGCAACAGGCCACTGCAATCGATGTGCTCGACGGGCGACTTTTTCATCCTGAATCAGGACCATGAATGGATTGCAGAGAGAATCGAGCGGCGTGTGGAGGTAAACATGGAGAAGAACGTTGGGTCGCTGCAGGAGCAGGCTATGAAGAGGAAAGAGAGGCTAAAGGCGCTCAGAGATAAACAGCTTTATGTAAGTTTGTTGTCTGGTGTGGTCTAGTTTCTGATAAATGTAACACAGCCATTAGAAAACCTGTTATTTTGCTGGTGAGGTTACGTTAGCCGACCTAGCTTGTAGCTAATGTTAGCATGTCCATTTAGGAAATCAGTTATTAGCTTGGTTTGCGGGTTTGTTGATGTGCTGTCGAGAATGTAGGTTTTAATTAAGTTCCGTAATTACTTGTTGTTGTGCTTTTGTCGTCTACTTAATCCTTGTTTATTTGCCTGTGCTAATTTCAGAAGCTAATTCATTCAACGCCGCGTCGTGGTCCCAAGTTAATACCATCGCTAAATCTTAGTTAAAAACAATAAATGTTAATACCTAACTGGATTAATTAGAGCCATCTGTGTTGTTCCACGTGTAGGTTGCACGTTACATAATGTGTATGTATCTGTTTAGATCTGCCTTTAAAAAAAAAAACCTATATGAATGTGATCAGCCTCAGCTTCAGTGGTGATCAGTTACTTTTTATTTCCACCATCAACAAGCTTATAGGTCTTTTGTGACATGTTATAATCCAGTTAATTTAAAGGCACGGTTTCAAAAAAGTCCCAACTTGTGAGGCAGGATTAGTGTTGCAGTGAATTATGTTTAATCTAGTAGTTGTCAACTATTAATTTATTCACCAATTGCTTATGACAATGTATTAATCTGTTTGAGGATAATTGGAGGATTATCTGCAAACCACTAAATAAGCCATGTGTAGAACATGTTGGCGGCCAATCAGGAGACAAATTAACTCCTAGATTAAATATAGAATGCCTATAACAAACTATCCACATATAAACATCTGATAAACCCTTAAAATACCATGCATCAGTCAGGATAAATGACCAAATTAGATACAGTATAATGTATTTTATTCAACAAAAATACAACTGTTTACAATCACAGTACAAGCTTTAGTCAAGGAGAGAGCTGCAACAATCAGTTGATTAGTTGTCAACGATTAGATTAGTCTCTAATTCTTTATTGGTTAATCAATTTTAGTAACTTTTTAAAGGAGAAAGTCAAAATTTTGCAGCTTCTTAAACGTGGATGTTATCTGGTTCCTTTCCTCAGCAGTTTAATGGACAATGGAAGTTATCATTAGTTGCAGTCTGTACATAACATATTTTATCTGCAAACAGTTAGCAGGTACAACCTCACTGTCTTGCCGACAAGCTCATCCATCCATCCATCATCTATACACCACTTAATCCTCACTAGGGGCGTGGGGGGCTGGAGCCTATCCCAGCTGACTCAGGGTGAAGGCAGGGGACACCCTGGACAGGTCACCAGTCTATCACAGGGCTACACTTAGAGACAGACAACCAAGCACACTCTCATTCACACCTACGGAGGATTTAGAATCACCAATTAACTTCAACATGTTTTTGTACTGTGTGGGAGGAAGCCGGAGAACCCGGAGAGAACCCACGCTGCACGGGGAGAACATGTAAACTCGATGCAGAAAGATCCCGGGTGTCCTCACTAGGATGCGAACCGGAGACCTTCTTGCTGCGAGGCAGCGGTACTCCGACAAGCTCAAAATGCTCAAATTTAATAAAATTGACTTGCGGCCACACCTCGTATATCTTAAGTTGCAGCTGTAGTGTTTTTCTAATTGCATGGTTTCAAATTGCAATTTTGGTTAGAATTCAATTTATTGTTCCTCCCACATCTTTAAGGCCTTCACCAGGCGTAAAGTTCTTGGAAAATGTAAGGAACACAGAAAGATATTTCAATATGAGAAAACTAGTGTGAGGATATCAGCGAATTTTTAAAAAGTTGCTGTTTGAAGAATAACTCAGCTGCATTTGGTGCATTCAGTTGAGGATTTCATGTGAAATTTGGCTTGAGCTCCACAGTGTGAGTGAGTCTGATTTTATCTATTTGTGTTCAGCTGCCTGAAGAACAGGAAGATGATAATCATAACTGTGGTTAGGGCTGAACAATGTGCAAGAAAAATTATGCTCCAATTATTTTTGACAGACATTGCATTTGTCAATATGAGTAATGATTTCAGTGGAAATTGTGTTTTTGTTTTTCCATTTCTTTTCCTCTTTAAAAGATATAAATGAGGATGTGACTTTAGCTGTGGTCTATGCTGAGCAAGAACGCTCTCTTAGGTCTGGAGAATGTGTTTTACAAGCTGGTGCATCCACAAAGCTTCGTGTGAAATAGTTTTTATGAAGAATAATTGAAGAATAATAATTTAGATTAATTGTATAGCCCTAATGTTGGTCAGTGTTTCACTAGTCATTTACTTTTATCAAGTCACCAAATTACTGAAAAAAAGACAAATTAATATGAAATGTTATCAAATAATTTTGTTTTTTTCTGGCACACAGTTGGGAATTTGATTTGCCAGTTAAAACATATTATTTATAGTAGAAAGTGAAGAAACTTTGTTCATAGTTAACAAAAACAAGAACAAACTTTAGTCAAGTATGCAGATACCTTAGTTTACAAAAAAACCAGAATCCATCAAAAACATTATTACATTCACAACAAAATATAATACGATCCCTCCTGAGGTGCTGTCACCACAATGTGCAGCAAAACCGAAGCCATGTGTAGCAAATGTTCGAGGAATTATTTAGCATTTATTATCAAGATGCTTCCTGAGCTAATTTTATCCGTGATTATTGTGCAGTGTCAGGTTTTCATATCGACACAAACCTTGGTTGTTGAACTGCAGGACTGAGAGCAGGATGTTCCACCAGTTTGTCGCCGCTGTCGTCGTTGGACCATTACAACATAACACAAATATTCTGCTCCACGATGGTAGCCTTTCAATTCTTGATAATGAATTCCTCTTGCAACATGAAACGCAATTCAAAGTGCATGCCACTGTCTTGGCAGTTAGATGAGAATGCGTTTCGCTGCACAATTGTTGAGCAGAGGCACGCTACGTAGGTTCGCTAGATAAACGGTTGTTGACATTCCTGAAGTCTGTCGTTGTTTTCCTTTTGTGCTGCACTTCAAGAATGAGTCAGAACCCTGAATTGTTCTAGCAGGTGAACAGGAAGCCTCTTCAGGAAAGTGCAAGCTGGGAGGGGTTCCAAATCCTTTGTTACAGCTTTTCACATGGGGTCAATATTTTATTTTTTTTTCCTGAATTTCTTCCAGCATGTTTCATCATTTATGTTCCCTGTTGTTTACACGTGGTCAGTGAAGTGTACGCCGCAGTCAGAGATGTGTTGTTGCACACGTAACGCCAGCTCGGGTGACAGCTAGAACATACTCATCCTATTTTCCTAATTTCGTAGCTCTCTTAAGTTCTCAGCTTCTAAATAGGTCACTGTGAGAAACAATGAAGCTCACAATGCAGATGAGTTATTGACTCCAAAATGATGGCACACCACACAAGAAGTAGATATTCTAAATTATTTTTGTATGCAAATGTTAGCCGACTGTCTTTACTGTGCCAGAACCAAAATGGCCTGTTGCTTACTAGAGCTGCAGTGAATAATAATAGTTGTCAACTATGAAATGAACTATTTTATTAACCAATGAATCAATTTTTAATAATTTTTTAAAGTCTAAATTTTCTGATTCCAGCATAAAATGTGAATATTTTCTGGTGTCTTTGCTGTTGTATGACAGTAAACTAAATATGTTTGGATGACAAGGACGTCATCTTGCACTTTGGGAAATGTATTTTGAAGTTTTTCCCCTTTTTTAGGTATTTTATAGACCAAACAATTGATTTACAATGAAAGTAATCTTTGATTTCAGTCCTAATGCATACACCAGCACACGTCATTTCACTCATAATAAATATAAAATATAATCAACACAAGCTGTTTGCAAATTTAGAGTTATCTCTGATTGTTTGATTGTGGGGACTGTGTGGGAGGAAGAGGATAATGGATGGATGGATGTTTGATTGTGACAGAATACAGTGTTCGTTTTCCCCATCTTGCAGCCAGTCCATTGGTTTAACAGTACAAAACATATATACTCTAAATTTAACTAATTTTGTGTGACGATATTCTCACAGGGGCGAGATCAGGAAGATGGGGAGCCAGAGAACAAAAAGGCCACGCTGGAGGAGACCACTGAACAGAAGCACAGGTTGGTTCTACCACACAGCCCACAGCAGTGCCTGTGAATTTTCTGTCCTTTTGAATATGTCTCATAAAAGCCAGTCATGGTTTCTTCAGTCGTTGCCCACTATTGCTCACCCGTTTAGCAGAGGTCTTTTTAAGCTACGCAAACGGAACTGAAACTGATATGGAAGCGCATCATCACAGCATTTATCTGACCTTTATCTCCACAACAGCGCATGTCCCGGTGCAGGTTGTGAGACTCAGTGTTTACAGTGGGCTGGATCACAGTCTCGCGCTATTAGCTGCTCAAATATCCTGCAGTTTGCTCAACTTTGTGTGCGAGTTGGTAGGAAGGAGCAGCCATCTTTCCTGTCCTACAGGACCTTTTTTTCCATTGTTTATATTTAATGACTGTGACGGTGACGGCACCGAGGGAGTGCCGTTGTGTTTCCTCCAGTCCGACAGGACAGATCTCTCTCATGAGAATGGAAATCGCTGTGAAGCCAAGAGCCTGTTTTAGACATTTGTCTGTAAAGAGAGAGAATCGGTGTTGTTGTGAGTCTGGGTTTTTTAATTTGCAAGGTCTCGACACTCATCTGTAGAAGTGTGCGGGTGTAATGTATCTTGTGATTGGTATTAAAATTTCATGGGAGATCCAATTGCTGAACCAAGACAGGAAAGAAGAAAACAATCAAAATATTTGCCTCCACCTATTTAAAATAATGAATCTCCACAAGTTCAGGATGTCAAAGTGTACTGATCACGTGCGGAGAGGTTTTTTTTTTTAGCTCGCGGTGTGTTGTTATACATTCCTCCAAGCTTATTCCACAAAAGGCACCAACCACACCGGGCAGCTTTTCCTGTTACGTCTTGTTAGCTGTTGTTCAGGCTGCTGGGTTAATTTTTAAAATAGACGGATAATTAGATTTCTGATTCTTGGAAATTGCAAATAAGATTAAAGGAGGCTTAAAAGCCGCTGATATACAGTCAGTACGTGTTATGTGTAAATGAAAAGGTATTTTTACTGCGGTGAATGAGCAGGTAGCTTGATATCAGTGTAAACACTCTGCTGCACCTCCTCCATCACCACAGTTCACTCCAAACATTTTGGCCACTATTGGGGCAGTGCTCTGAAGGTATCACTGGCTCTCTTTGACAGCACAGTGTGCTTGAAGTGGAAATGTGTAAACACGCTCCAAAGGTTTTGGAAGCACAAGAGACAGTCAAGAACAAAAAGCTTTGAAGGTGGAGAATTTACACGTGCAGTCTGTTTGTCCTGTCTTTGGTTCTGCTTATGGTGGCTCTTAGGAGGGCAAAACTGGAAGGGCGTCTGAGTGTTTTAGTCAAAAACATCTTGTAAAATTCAATTTGGATATTAATTTCCACAGAGGATTTCCCCTGTCATACGCCAGCAGGTTCAAACTTCCTGGTACGGTCGCTGTTTACGATATTTATGGTCCTCTTATGACCTATAATAATAATTATGGAGCCCGCTTGATATTTCCTTTTGTTTAATCTAATCGACTGACTGTATTGCCAGAAAATTTGCACTTTGGCTCACTACCTTCAGGAACCTAATCTGTTTTTTGTTTTTTTTAATTCCACTTTATCCTCCAGATTCCAGTTACATTTTTTAGGCTGCTCACTACAGAATAGTGAGAGTGCCAAATTACAAAAATAAATCAATAAAAGAGTAATAAAATATAAGTGGAAATAAAGAGAAAAATAAATAAAAATTTAAAAATAAAAAATGTAAAAAAGAATAAAAGAAAATATAATAAATAAAAAAATTTAAAATAAGAATTAAAAATATATATAATAATTAAAAAATATATTTTTAAAAATGATTATTGTTTTTATTATTTTATTTATTTGTCTTTATATTTCTACTTTTATTAGCCTTTTCTTTTATGGTTTCATTTTTGATTAATAATGCTTTATATTGCCGCATTATTTATTTTTTATTTTATTTATTTTATTTAATGTGGAATTTCTAAACTTTAGCTCCAGTGTAAAGTCCTGCACCGTGATAGGGAAAGTGCAACTGTGGCTTAAAGGTAGACTCAAGAATGTCTTCGGTACAGCAGAACAAAGTTACAGTCCACATCATTTGTTTCACAAAAACGATGAAGATGCTTCACCATGCTGAGTGTATCTTCTAACAACAGCTCCTCTGTAGACCGTTTCTGGGCCATGCTGCAGTTATTTTATTGATAAAGTCTGTGCTATTTTCCTTTCCATCTGTATTGTTGTTGTCTCCTGCTACGAATGGTTTGATTCTGATTAATTTTAAAATGACACTTGTAGAATGAGGTGCTTAATTTTCCCAATGAACTTACTCACCATGTATTTGTTTGCTCAAGGACCATCGGAAAGTTGGAAACCCAACGATTCTTTATTGTTTTACAGACTGTGGCTCTGATAAATGGTGTCATTGTGGCATTTATTAAAATATGGTAGGCTTTTCAAACCACCAGCATGTTTTGGGGTTAAGAGGGTTTATATAGAGTTATTTAAGAGTGACAATCTGAATGTAGACAAAAAAGAGGATGATGTACAACAAATGTCCTTGGCCCAACTATCTCCAGGACACCCCAGGAAGAACCTGATTGAAGTGAGGGATTTCATGACACGCTGTGCCATCTTTCTGTTGATTTCTTCACAGTGTGAGCTGTTAAAGGCCAATAAATGATGGCTTGTTGTTACCCCTGAAGGGCCTTCTGGCTACTCAATGCGTTACACAAGTAAACTATGTCTTCCTGCTTGTTTATACAACCCATTTATTTAATCCAGGATGTTTATTATATTAGTTTGAGTTATATGTAACAGTATTTCAATTAACCTCTGAGTCCTACAGACCCGCAGATGTGTTTAAAAAGCATGTTAATGTTAAAAAAAAAACTGCCAAAATTACACCAATTTTTCAGACCCAGAGACTGTAAAAACCGAAGAATTGGCTTTTTACCTTTCTGATGAATTAATTATGTGTGACGCACACAAAAATGAATCAAGTCTAACTTTAAAATTGTGAGATTTTATCCAAAAAAGCACATTATTCTACATGTCTCATTTAAAACTTTGCCAAAAAGTAGCTGTTTGCATTCACTTAATTCTACAAAAAGCCAAATATTCTCTCAGCTAAGACGTCATTAGTGACTCAGCCACAACCCACAGTCACGTGACAGAAATTCTCAGTGTTCTTGGCTGAACTGCAGACAAGTATTTAAAGAAACTGTATGGAAGTAGTAAACTACATCTATTTTGTAGCCACCATGTTTTATTGGTGTTTTGAAAATCTGTGGACACTTGTTGTACATATTGAGCCATTTTTTTTCCTGTTTTTGTAACAAAAAAATAAAACGTCAAACGAATTCAGCTTTTGTTTTTTTCTTCTTTTTTATTGCTTGATAGCATTCTAACTTCACGATGCTGTACAGAGGACGTTTCTGAGGGTTGTGCTTTTTCCATAGAGGTGCAAGACTTTATATTGAAGTAAAAAATGGACCCTACAGTGGCTAAATATGTGATGGGAGCAAAAAAACACCCAGAAACTGCTTGTAGTTCAAAGGGTTAACGTGCTGGTGTATTTCACTCCAGCTAAATGTGCTTCTTGTTTGTTATGTTTGCTGTTTAAGTGGCTTGAGACTTCAGTTTGAGGATGACATGAACAGACGTATTGGGTATACTCCCCCGCAGAAACAGCCCCTTCAGGATCTGATATGTGGAAAATAGAGAAAGAGTGATGTGTGAACCGAGAGCGGACCTCAGTCGGCCAACAGCAGAACATGACTAGCATTCCTGCCCATAACCATACAAGGCATTGGTCTGTCTGCTGGCAGCAGGGGTGTGATGAATGTATCAGGAGTGCACCCTCTCAAGCTCCACCACAAATCCATGCTAAGCCCAGAGCAGCTGATAACTGTCCAGCCCGCTCAGACAATAGTTTACCTCTGCCTCTGGAAGCCCGCTGTAATCTGCAGAGATGTCACCCTGAGCTCGCCAAGAATTCCTCTGTGTCGAGATGTGATGAAAGACTGCGTAATTCAACATCAAGGACTGCATTCCTCAGCTGTTTGCTGCCCTCCGCGAGCCTGTGCCCAGGAGCAGGTGGAACATGTTAATGTTCACAGGAATAAAGGGGGACATTATACCCGACCTCGTTTAGACATTAGAGGTGCAGCTGTGCAGGGATTGCAGATGGTCTTTTTATGCCTTTTAGCCCGTGGTGGAATGTATTTGCCGACACTGCCACCTCCTGGACCACCAAGAGCGTCTCGTTTGCCGCTCATATCACTAGAAGTAGACTCTCATTGCTCTGTATTTCTGTCCTCAGAGAGCTGAAACTGAGGAATTATACCCCAGAGGACGAAGAGCTGAAGGAGAGGCAGGTGCCCAAAGCCAAACCTGCATCAGGTGAGAGCTCTTTAATCATAAAGATGCACTGATCACACATTCTTTTGGTGTTTCAGTGCCTTGCTGTTTATATGCTGTGGCTGCATTGCCTCCAGGAAGGTCAGAGCTGGACGGTCCTGTTTGAGTACTAATCACAGATCATCAGGGCGGGGAGGGTTACTTTAAAACTGCTTTTTAATATAATTACCTGTTCAAAAATGTAGTCAGTATCCTTATTGAAGCATCACAGTATGAAACTAAACAGATTACTTTGTGTTACTTTCTGATTACACCACTACTAAATAGTCGAAAAAGGGCAAAAGAAAATAAACGTTATGCTGATGTAGGCTTAAATTAGTTCTGTAATGTGTGCACATGTGCTTGGCTGGTTGCCAACTTTCAGCTTCCAGTTTTAGTGAAATTTTGAGAAATTGAGGAAGTGAAACTATGTGGGTTTATAGATCGCTTATATATACTATTTTGATTAGTTTAAAAGTAATATGAGTAAAGTGATGCTCTCAGTAGGGCAAGAAAAGAGATGCTGCAGCATGTTTGAGGAAAGAAGTTAAAACTGTTAAGTCCCATAATCCAATAATACTCAGAATAATAATAATTAACAATAAACAGGCCAAATCTGCTGACAGCATCTTTTTGTTATTTACTTTTATCTAAAGGCTGAAATGTCATGTAAAATGATGATATATCCCATTACAGCAGCTTGTGATATCATAAAATGTGCTTCCATTGTTACTAGGCTACTTCTTGATCATTTGATTCTATAATGATATTATGAGTTTAATGATTAGAGGGGCTGCGAGGTGGGTCGGTGGTTAGCATCGTTGCCTCACAGCTAGAAGGTCGCCGGGTCGCGTCCCGGTGAGGACACCCGGGATCTTTCTGTGTGGAGTTTGCATGTTCTCCCCGTGCAGCGTGGGTTCTCTCCGGGTTTTCTGGCTTCCTCCCACACAGTCCAGAAACGTGTTGAGGTTAATTGGTAATTCTAAATTGTCCGTAGGTGTGAATGTGAGTGTGCTTGGTTGTCTGTCTCTAAGTGTAGCCCTGTGATAGACTGGCGACCTGTCCAGGGTGTCCCCTGCCTTCACCCTGAGTCAGCTGGGACTGAGCGGAGGATTAAGCAGTGTATATATAATGGATGGATGTTCTATATGCAGCTATTGTAAGCATCCATACGCTCAGTAACGTCACTATTGCAAACGTCCGATGTGAGATGGAAAAATCTCAGTCATAGAAAAGAAAAAGAAAAACAACTTTTACCAGAAGTAAAATATTTTAATGTTGCATCCTGATCTATCCGGTCTCCATGTCGATGATCATTTATAATTACAAGTAGGTAATGAAGTTGCTTTAAAGACGCTCGTATGGATTCTGCTGCCGCCTGATGCTGCAGATATATAATAAATTCAGAGAAAAGACTCGTACAAACAGCTGGAAGCAACAAACTAAACTTCTGATCCTGTTTATCCTGTTTTGTTAATTACACTCATTATTGGTGAGTTGTATTTTTATAGACATTTCTTTCTGTAATAGATGTGAAAATATAGAGCGAGGTAAACAAGGCCGAACTCACAATGAAGGCGTGCTGTTCCATAAACTAAAGGCATGTGAACTGTGGCTTTTATGCAATGTTTATTGACGAATGTTGGAGTTTAGGCAGAGACTGAAAAGTGGGAGATTGTAACCCTGGTAACATATGGGTCTTTCACTTATTTAAAAATGAATTTTGAAATTTCAAACTAAACGGAATATGTCTCTTTGTTCTGTAACTTTAGCAGAATGTAGTTCCCCGCAAATCCTTTATAATTAATGGTGTGTTCTTTGTTTGCAGTGGAAGATAAAGTAAAAGACCAGCTAGAGGCAGCTAATCCAGAGCCCATCATTGAAGAAGTGGTGAGTGCTCCTTTCTATCAATATGTGATTTGCTTTAATTAAGCATCTTTAGCTTCTAAGTGCAGCGTCTTTCTCTTCTCAGGATTTGGCCAACCTTGCTCCAAGAAAGCCAGACTGGTAAGACTTCTTTTTTTTCAGTGTCATTTTCCACTTTCTATAGTGCATGAAACCTTAACAAAGACATCATTCACTGACTTTGTCTTTTCTTTGTCATTCTGATTTGAAGGGATCTAAAGCGTGATGTGGCAAAGAAGCTGGAGAAGCTGGAGAGGAGAACACAGAGAGCCATCGCCGAGCTCATCCGTCAGTATTCCCCGTTTCATGTTTTTTGCCTTTTATCACAAAATTTGTTGTTTTTTCCTGTGACGCCGCAGAGATAACAGAGCCCGAGCTTGGCGTGAATTATTAGGCTAATTGCTTTGTGACTCCCAGACTCTGCGGAGGCTTGAAGCTGTCTGATAACATCAGTGGTGTGATTCCTCCACTGATGTATGATCCACATTCTAAAAATAGCAAGGAGCTCTCAGGAGCAAGCAAAGCAGGTTTAACTGTAACAGGAGTTTTCCCTCGTTTTCAGTGTGTGACAGTGATTACTCTTAATTCAAAAGCCTTTAGAGCACAGGAAGCAACGTGCTTGAGTAATAACATTTAATTAACTGTAATCACGCAGTTAAAATGCCAAAGTTATTGAATCACATGAAATAGCTTGCACGCAGACATTAACAAACAGCAGTCGGGGATTTAGGTTTTAGTCCTCTGTGCACACCCAGAGAGGATTACAGCTGCAGTGGGCTGCGTTTTCTGTTTAGGGGAGAACATGTCGTTTCCTCTGCTCTGAACAGAACTCTGCTGCCTGCCAACAGAATGTACCATCTGTGAGCAGCGCGTCACAGACAACAGAGCTGTTCTTTTACATGGTTTGATCCTCACTAAAATGCATCGACACATCCATCCATTCATTTTCTTATGCTGATCTGTGGCAGCAGGCTAAACAGGGGCTTCCCTCTTTCTCAGTCCCTCCTGGGAGACACTGAGGCGTTCCCAGGCCAGATGAGATACTGGGTCGACCTCCTTGAAAACCTCAAAAGGAAGGTGCCCAGGAGGCATCTTAATAAAGTGCCTGAAGGAGCAGCTTCTTTGCTCCAGGCTCTGTCCAGATTTCTCACCAAATCTCAAACGCCGAGCCCAGCCACCCGACAGAAGAGACTGGCTGCTTATGGCTCATTCTTTACCCAGAGTTCATGACTGAGGTGAAGGTTGGAGCTTTTCTTTCCGACTCAGCTCACTGTTCACCACATCAGTCCAGTACAATATCCAGCGCTCCATTTTCTGTCACTCATGAACAAGATCCTGGGAAACTCTTCTACTCGGGGCAGCAACTCACCTGCAACCCAGAGGCAACAATCTGTTATTTTTTGGCAGAGAACAATGGCTTTAGTTTGCTGCAACCTGCCTCAGTGCACGCTGAAGGTCACAGTTTGATGTTTCCCAACCTGGGCAGCCTCCTCACCCAAGTTGCACTTAGATGCCACAAACAGGGTCTGAGACTTTAGCTGAGTCTACTGAAAACGTGTTTGTGGATAGAATATGAACACTGGCACACTGTGGTTAACTAAGCCTGAATAAAATCATAGAATTAAATGAAGCTTATGCGTAGAGGATGCAGTGAATGAATGAATGTTTGTGTCCATCCAGGGGATCGTCTGCGAGGCAGTGAGGAAGAGTTAGCCGGAGCAGTGGGAGCAGTCAGAGAAGAGGAGGGAGACTCGGACTGAATCCAAAATGTGACAGGAGAAAAGAGAAGACAACAACAACAACAAGGATGGCCTCAGTTTACTGACGCTGTACCGTCACGTCTGTGCTGCGTGAACAGAGACGCCTGGTTCCATCGAGTAAAGTCATGTTTCCTGTCCTCGTGTTGTTACATGTGAATATGTAGTAACACATTCTGTATATGTGGATATTGAGCTGCATTGTTTATGCAATATTTTGTTGTATTTTTATATCATCAAGTAAAATAATGTGGATTTTTCAAACGCCTGAGTAGTTTTTGTTGTGATTTATTTTTGCTTCTGCTGGAGAATCTACAGTCGTCCTCAAATGGATTCATCTCCTTCCATTAAAGAAAAGGCAAAATTCACAACTCAGATAACTAGAAACTGAAAAAAATAATAATAAATAAACATTTTCTAAATTAGAATTTAGGGAAATAAAACATTGCTTTTGAATTGTGGTTGAAAAACAGCAACAACAAACAAAACTGTCCTGGACAAATTAGAGCACTTTGCTGATGAGCAGTGAAATCCAAGTAGCTGTCAACAGGTGCAGACGTCTGATGGAGAGTTACAGAAAACACCTGATAGCAGTGATTGGCTCAAAGGGTTGTTCAACAAAATATTAGTTCACGGGTCCCATCGTGCTTGCTTACTTTTTATTTTTGATTTTTTTTTTATATTTCTATTGAACCACAATAAAAAAGCAATGTCATGATTTTCAATTTCAACTTATTTCAGCTGCTTTTTTCCTTCTTTAATGGGAGGGTATGGATACATTTGAGGACGACTGTAGATAAAACCATGATGTGGGTAATTCAGTGTCGTTATATGGATATGCACCAATCAGCCACGGCATTAAAACCACTGCTGTTGCTCATCTCATCACAGTGCAATGTCCTGCGGGCAAATTTGGTTCCTGGCATTCATGTGGATGTTACTCTGACACGTACATTCTACCTAAACCTTGTTACAGACCCAAGCACACCCCACTGTGCAACAGCACTAGTTGACGTCAGTGTCCCTGGCAGAACAATCGCACGAAAACAGCATACAGGAACAGCTCAAGGAAGCTTGGCCTCCAAACTTTCCTGATTCCAGTCCCGTCACGTATCCACAAGATGCATCCAAGCAAGTCTTATCCATGTGGGGCCCGCTCTGCAACTCACAGCTGCCAAACACCCCAGCAGACCTGTAGGGGGTTTTGAATTTGTGGCAGTTTGAAAAATTACAGTTAAATTGTTGGATGGTACCATAACAAGATTTATCTGCGGTTGTCAGTTTTGCATCTTTGTGGGTGTCTTTTCGTCATCACTTTGCATCTTTTTGCATCTCGTTGCGATTGTTTTGCATCTCTTTGTGGTCACTATGCGATTCTTAGTGGTCGTTCTGCACCAGTCTGTGGTCATTTTGTCTCTTCATCGTCTATCTATCTTTCTTTGTGGTCATTTTGTCACACTTTGGAGTCGTTTTGCATCTCTTTGATGGAAAACGACCACAAAATACAAAACTATTTTTCCAATTTCTACATTTCTGATGTGCATACTCTAGTTAATAACAGAATTAGACAGAAAATAACGTGCAACAAACAGTTTTGTCACCAAGCATCCAAAAAGACAAAAGACATTTTTTTTAAATACATAATATTTATTCAGAAAATCATCTGAAAATTCACTCCCTAGTTATAATTAAGTGACCCCTATGCACTCATGGTAGTTACTGCAACATTAATGTCTTGCTACATTTGAATCAAAAGCTAGTTTTGATCCACTTGGGTGATAACACAAGAACAAATATGAACAATAAGCTGTATTTGGTATGACATTCACAAGTGAAATCTATTGCAAGCACCTGAACTAAAAATGCTCCTATTCTTTCACAGTAAAGTGCATCTTCTGTCCACATAGGCCCAAACTGTCTCCTGGAAAAGGAGGATATTGCACAGTTCGCTATATCACCACTCCAATACAAGGCCACCATCTTTTTTCCCTTCGACAGCGTTCATCTTTTCTCAAAAGGCAAATTATCAAGGCGCTAAAGAGAAACAGAGCATTCAGTCGCTGCTCTTCTGAAATTCACAAAGAAACGACACAGATATGTGACTTTAAGTGTCATTGACATGGATAAAAGCCCGTACTTTTGTTACAAAACACGTTCTCCTACACACTACGACCTTCGAAATTATACCACGTTGGCGATGAAGCTCACAAGACATTTATAGCAGGATGATTATTACTGCAAAAAACTGAAGTGTCGCTGATATTGTGGCACCGGAAGCTTGTTGAACCTGAACATTATGCAGCTCTAAACACTGTGATGATGACTGAGGATATGATCTATCCTGGATTTTAAATGAAACTGAGATAGAAGTTCAAGGAAGCATCGAATCCTAAACCACAGAGGATGTTTTGGCACTCAGAGTGGAAGAATAAATACTCCTGCATGCAAACTATCTAATGATAAAGGGTTCTCACTTAACAGAAGCAGAAAATGGCAAAGAGGAGGCTAATATCCTCGGTGCTCGACCTCACAGGCCTCCTCAGATTTAGCCCTTGAGCAGGATTGCTGCTGATCTTGTTGATGCTGTATAGTTGGCTGGTAGGGACTGATTTATTCAAGATTTCCCGGTGATTCATGGCTCTCAGTCACACTGTCCACCTCCTGATTCGATCTTCCTGGCTGCAGGACCCAACTCCACCTTGCAAACCCTCTGAGCAAACTTCAGAGAGCACAGCGTCTCTCCAGCGTTACTCTCCAGAGCGGAAACCTTCAGTAGAACAAAAATGAGGCTCAATATAATGATTACATGGTTGTGAATGAGGTACAGCAGGAGCAGAAACCTCACCTGCACCACCATGACGGTTTTGCTGCCTTTGCCGAGGGAGTCCTGCAGTAAGTACGTAAGGCGGGAGTTCCTGAAGGGGATGTGAGTTTGTCGAGCCCGAAGCGCCTGAATGACGTCCCCCAGAGCCAGCAGAGAGCGGTTGATGTTCTGGGCCTCTTTCAGCCTCTCTCCCTCGGCACCAGACTTCCACACCCGCTCTGAACCAGCCAGGTCCACCAGGTTCAGTTTCCCTGCAGAGTGAGGAGCAAATTCAGAGCAATGACACCTACACCTGCTGCTACATGTGCCCTTTCCCTCCTTTACCAAGGATAGTCTTTAGGAGGGCAACAAATTAAAGGAAAAACCAGAATTCTTGACCTGTACACTGTTTTAAAAAATTATAATTCAGCAAAAACCTAAATAAAATCTGGCAGCAAGGTGCCAGGAAAAATAGCTAAAATACATTGGAATACTGCAACTATAAAAATAACAATGAATATCTGTAAAGTATATATATATATATATATATATTAGAACTTTATTTTTACGGTTACACGTTGAAAAGGTAAAACTTATTATTTTGTTAAACTATCCTCTGTTTTTGAGGTGATCTGTTTTATTTTTGTTTTGTTTTTGTTTTTTGTTTTTTTAATAGTCGACATGTAAATTAATACTTTTTCTGTGATTTTAACTACATCTGTGATTTAACCGAACAGGTAAAATAACAGTTAAAAAATATCTGCCATTTTTTTTCAATAATTTTTCAATTTCTCTTTCAAATAACAGCAAATATCTGTAAAATAATGATATGTTTTGCTAATTTAATTACAAAAAACAGTATGATTTTATAGTCAAATATTGTAAAAGCAATTTTTGTTTTTTTTTCATACAGATTTTTGATGTGGACGTTACTTACAATTTACTTTTTTGCTATTATTTTACTACATACCTGTAATTTAGAAAAATGGAAATATTGTGAAATAAGAAATTGAAAAACTGCAGTTAAAACCTGGTAAAAACAAAAAATTTTTTACAGCGTACAGTGAGGAGCTCTGTTATGCTGTGGCTGGTTTGGATCCACTTGTGAAGCACATTTAAAAGCAAGAGCTGCCATGGGCTGTTGTTTAAAGCGATGTCAATTAAAAATGACGTGAGCAACAGCTGCTTCATCTGTCTGTTGTTTGTTACAGTCGACTGCTGTGTTTTATTATCTCTGTCAGAAGCAGTGTTCATGACAGCTTAGATGCTTATATTCAATTAGCCTGGCATAATGAGACAAGAATCTACCAATGTCATACAAACAACAGAGTACGAAACAAAAAAAAAAGAGTGACACATATCATAACTGCATATTGAGTACACAATGTCATCACAAATACACCTGTGCATCCTCACAGCTCCTGCAGCAAGCCTCCTCTGTCCTCAAAATGCATTTTAAGAATTGAGACATCCCTCAAGAGGATTTCTAGGTCACAGGTAGGAGGACAGAGGAGACAAGGAGGCTCAAAATAGAGAAATCACATGAGTGTTGATCTTCAAAACCCTGTTTAGAAAACCTTATATGCAGGCTATGCTCCATCCATAAGACACAAGGGGTCAGTGAATGGTTCGATGATCTGTTGGAAAATCTGTTTCATCGCTTCAGTAGCATTCCAGGAACTTGTAAAGTCAAAATGCCCTGAAGCTGTTCTGGTGTCACACGGCGACCAAACATCTTACTGAGACACTTGACGTTGGTTTTTCCTTTAACTTGTCACCCATATGTACACTTCTAAGGGTCTCTAGTCTGCCCTCAGCCCGCTGGTATTTCCAAAAGAACACTTCAGACTGTAGAAGGAGAGAGTTCATACATGACTGACCTGTGGTTTTGGAGCCGGTGGCGAGGTCGGTGCCCTGAACGGTGATACAGAGCAGAGCGTGGGAGCGCGAGCTGTGCTGGTTCATCTGAGTGCCGAAGGTGATCCTGTTCCTTCGAGCTGTAGCTAGAAGCTTGAGGAAGACAAAATCAACGGCCATTAGCGTATTTTCTACTGCTGACTTGTGATTCAATAACTTTTTAACAGTGTGTGGAAGAAGTATTCAGATCCTTTGCTTTGGTATTAATACCACACTGTGAAAATAGTGTATTCACAGTCTTACTCAAGTCAAAGCATGTAAGTCGACAGTTGTACACATTGTTCACTAAAATAGTAAAATGTTCCATGTCAGTGTTTTGCTATAGTATGTGATGTTTTACAGATTTATATTACTGCTGCATTGATGTGTCAGCTGCATTTTACTCCTGCAGAAGTTTGGGGTTGAGGCAATTACAACTACTTGGATGGTGTAATATTTACATTTTAACTACATTATCCTCTATTATGTAGTTAAAGCAATGCATCAGATTATATAAGATGAGCATAAGTTTGTTGCATCGCTGTCCTGTGAGAATTAGATATTTCTAAAACTCAGCTTTTCAGTAAAAAAAAAAAAAAAAGGCATCTTCAGCTTTTTGCCATTTTTCCACTAATTTAAAAGTGCTTCTTAAAATCGTTAATGCAACCTAAAAGGATGTGGAATCTTCTCAAGTCATAAATGGACAATTAATCCTTCTGTTTATTAGACAAAATTCAATTCAGAATATCCAAATTTGGAGATAAATGGTGTGAAAAATTGTAATCTGATAGCTAACTAAAGCTGAGATTCTGAGATGTGGTGGGGTAGGAGCAGAAAGATGCACGACATGGAAAACGTGAGAGATTCAGGTACCTTCAATTTGTACCACAAAACAGCACTTGAGTAAATCTACACCCCACCACTGCTGAGTGCGGGTGTTTAAAGTGAAACATCTTCTACCTTCTTGATGTGCTGAAAGCTCTTCACTTCGACGACCCTGAGGCCCGGTACATGCAGCTGTCCTGTTCCGTCCGGGTTGATCTTTATGTCCAGTTTCTCTCCGTCTTTACTCAGCAGGTCTCTGAAAAACAAAACATCACCATCAAGCAGCAATAAATGAGGTCTGATTTAGCTGAACGACTAAAGGAGCGTGCTGTACCTTAGCACCTCGTTGTAGATCTCCACGGAGCTGACTGTGACCGTGTAGGACCACATGTCCTTCCTCTCCTCGATCTCACTGAAGAGGTGTTTCAGGGCTCGCTGGTTGATGCCTGGGTGTTCCACACTACCCTGGAAATACAAGGACACTTAACTTACATTTCACAGTGTACAAAAGAAGGGATGCCATCTATAAATGTCATCTCCTTTTGAACTCATGCCGTCCTACATCATCACACTCCCACCTCTGTGCTTCACTGTCAGGACTATGCGTTCATCGTGGTAGGTTCCCCATCTGAGCTGAACAAACTCATCTTGGTTTCATCTGACCAAAGAATGTGCTCCCGACATTCATCAGGCTGCCTTTCATGTTCTTTAGACAAGTTTTATCTTGCACTTCTGTATCAAAGAGTTGTTTTTTTCTTTTCTTTTCTTGGACCCTGTCCACAGAGGCTGATTTTACGTGCTGTCTGAGCTGTCACAGAAACTCTGATTTCAACTGATAACCTGTTCCAAGGCTGAAGTACTTGTCTGTCTGTTTTTCAGAGCTAGATTGTGAAAGTAGTGCACTGTCTGAGGAGTTATTTTAGGCAGTTGTAGCTCGCTCTATACCTCCTGATTACTGCTGCTATTGTGTTTCGACTTGTTTTTAGTTAGTCATCAATCTGTTTGTGTCCTTTCCCACCATCGTGAAGTCTCATATTCAGACTTTTCAGGTTCTTCTGGCAACAGTTTTGAAAGTGGAGTCATGATGCAGACTGATACAGTCTGTAAGCTCAAAACTGGGAAAGTTCTGCTCCTCACGGCTCATTTTATAATTTTGTTTACTCAATCAGGATAATTGGAAATCACAGGTGTAGTTGCATTGAATTATATGCTTTGGGATCTGTATTTGAATGTTTCTACTGTATTTGTTTTTGATTGTTCATGAAAGAAATGCTCGACTGTTCAACTTAGAAATAATACAATTTTGAGACATTTGACTCTTAAGTGATATTATATGTGAGATCACTTGATACTGCACGGCTACAATAATCAGTATCTCATATCACTCTTTGGTTTCAGTCATGCTGTAAAAGTAGAGGTGTACCTCCATCGTGTAGGTTTTTCCAGAGCCTGTCTGCCCATATGCAAATATGCAGACATGGTAGCCATCGATGCAGGACGTCACCAGAGGTTCAATCTCCTGAAAGACCTGAAGAAACCAAACAAACTGTTGCGAGTTCTTGTTACAAAAATATTTCTTTAGTACGCTCGTCTTTTTTGCTACCTCTTCCTGCGTGGCCTGCGGCTGGAAGACCTTATCCAGCTCAAAGACGCGACCTTTTCCTTTGTTCATCACGGTGAGGGACGACTCGTTGTTGGGGTCTGTCGTCACAACCACAGACTGGCCCTCCTCATGCTGATCCTCCTTCAGCACCGGCTTCACCCGACACAGAACGCGAATGTTGCCTAAAAGCGGAAACAGAGACACAGTCAGTGGCACAGATTTTTATTTTCTGCAGTGAATTTGATCTTTTTCAAGACTTATACCTTTAAGCTCCACCAGCTGCTCGTGGTACTTCCGGCGCAGCGCAACCTCCTTCCTGTATTTCTCCAGAAGATCTTTGTTGGCTTCAGACATCTCATTAATAGCAGCTGAAATCTGACAAAGACGCAAAAACTCTTTAGCAGGTTTACGAGGATTTGGTCCGGTGTCTCATTCACCAAAATCCAAGCTTTAAAGCATGTTGGTCACAGTGCATACCTGTTTTTTTGCTTCATTGATAGCTGCTCCATAAAAGTCTGAGAAGTTTCGAACCTGGCTCCTCAGACTGGCGTAGTCTGTCTTCATGGAGCGCAAAGTTGGAGGGAGTGCAGTCAGACGCTTCTGCAAGCCTGACAAAAAGAAAAACAACATGTAGAATCACACAAATCTAGATGACATTGTCTTTAACATCCGTAAGCTAAACTTTCTTTCTCTGGGGTGCTTTGATTGTTTGGTGTAACTCACTGAAGAACTGGTCCTGAAGGCTCTGAAAGTGTTCCGCCGAGCAGCTGGCCGCGGCCTTCACCGCCTCCTCCTTCCTCTCCTCCAAGTGGCCGATCTCTTTCAACAGCTCCTCTCTCAGTTTGCTGATTTCTCGCTCATACGCCGCGATCTGTGAAAGGTTCAGCACAGCAATTTGTCAGTCTGTCAGCTCGACGGTTCCAATCTGTGCAGGTTCAGCTCTGTAATTAGTTCATCTGTCAATGAAATCGATCCAGGCTGTGAATTTCCAGCAGCAAGGTGGAAACTTCCTCCTTCTGCCTTTCATTTTTCTCCCCTTTGATCATCTGTTCTCCAAACAGGGCGTGCTTTATTTACCCCTCTGGACTCGTCAGTTCTGCCTCTTTATAGTTTTTAATCAGAGTTGATGGCATCAGGAGCAGGAGACCCGTCTGCAATTTGTGGCCAGATTTCTTAACTCTCACTGGCCTGCAGCCAACAGTAATACTTTGTGCCCTGATGGATATTTAACATTATTATGAAGCATTATTGTGAACATCCCAGATAATGGTTCACCTTTTACTATTTATATGCTCTGCTGCCGGGGCCTGCCTAACAACAGCTGGAGGACAATACGCTAATAAATCTGTGAAATATCAGTAAATATACTGGCAGTTTATCATCTAGAATTTGATCTATAAATAAAAAAATTTAACTTTTCTGTATTTTAATGGTGACTCTATGTTAAAAAACAAACTGTAACTGTGTTAATGATGCAACTATAGTAACAAAACAGGACATTATCCTGTTGTTTAATGCTAAATCTGTAACTAAAAATGGACATTTGATATCATTTAATGGTCTATCCAAACAAGAAAAAAAAGAAATTTCCGGTAATTAAAGGGAGTCTACAGTAAAAAAAAAAAAAAATAAAAAAATGCAAATGTTCAATTATTACATAATATCATATAAAGTAACAAAAGCTGTGTTAATTTATAGCTCATTTTATGGTAATTTAATTTTTTGTTTATATTATACCATCAGCAATAAGATCAGAAGTTTTTTCTCGATTAATTATGTACTTATAACCACAATAACGCTCTCTCTCTCTTTTTTTTTTAAATCTAAAAAAAAAATCTGATTAAAAAGGGTTTTTCAATGAGCTTGTGTATTTTTCACATTTCTGTAAAAATTTTAATTAATTTTTTTTTTTTTTTTTTTAAAAAGGAAATGTTTTTGTAATATTTAAGTTTCTCCAAGTTTGCTATTTCATTACACTCTCTCTTCACATTACATCAGTGAGAATCAAGGACACAACAACAATTACATCAGCTGATAAAAACGCAATTCAAAACAGTAAATGAACTGATATACACCTGTGTGGACAATTTCTACCAAAATATATAATCAGGCTGCTGTTAATGCACAGAGTTTAGTCCCATCTAAAGAGCATGTTATTTCTGTGTTTGTATGCCTAAAAGCACACATTGAAAGATAAGAATTCATGCCAAGACTAGTAAAGATTGACTTCTGTTTGCTACCTTGTGCTGCAGGTTGCAGCTGTGTTCGTCTGATCTGCGTATCTGTTCTTCCAGCTGTTTGCACCGTTCGTTCTGACTGGACAACCGTTCAGACATCAGCTCGTTCCTCTGTCTGGCTTTATTCAGCTGCTTTAACGTCGCTGGAGATTCCACCTCCACAGTCTGTGTGACGTACTGCCACAGAGGAAACATCTGGTTAAAAACATCCTCTCTCAATAAAACACATGAACACTGTTATTTACAGATTTTTTCTAGTTTATTACGATCACTAACACCTACAATGACCCTACAGGCCTAAATGTCCTGCAGTGAAACAGATTTATTTTATTGCAGTCAAACACCTTCAATAAAGTGTTAACATGTGCTCAAAACTCTTAACTAACGGTTCTAGTTTGGAAGGCGAATAGAATGTACACCTCTTTTGATTTCAAAACACTGTTGTTTAATTTATTCAGATAGAAATGTGTAATTTCAACCAATTATTCATAAAAATTCTGCAGAGCTCCCGAGGAGAAATTGAAAAATGAAGATTGGCCTTTCTCTGTTTACAAGCTGGACTGCAATATGAAGTGGAAACCAACACCAGAGTTCACAAAACTACAAATTTTACTTCAATAAATAAATACCTTATGTACCAAGTTTCTGCATTTTGTTAGATTTAATGTTGAATATACGGAAATTGTAGAGTTTGAATGTAGAACCAGATTTACATATGCTGATGTGCAATTTAAGAAAGGGGATACTGTATTAAAAAACATAGGACATTTTCAATAAAAACACTTAAAATAGTTCTTTGTTTGTTTGTCTACACATTTTTTTGGGGAAAAAAAAGAAATCTAATGTAAAATGTTATTATTTTCCTTGAATGTTGATGTTTTTTAATGTAGTTGTGCTTCAAGTTACCAAATCTGACTCTGGAATACATTAAAAATCTGTTTTATAGTTTCACAAGTAGCTCAAAACCCACTCCCCAGCGTTCAAATCCATTTTAAAAGCCCTGTGGCGCTGAGGTTTACCTTGACGACGGGCTCCTTGCCTCTCTCCCTGTCCAGCTCCAGCTGCAGCTCTCTCACTCTGTCCTCTCGTTTCCTCAGCTCTTCTCCTCGTCTCCACTCGCTTTGTTCGCTCTGTCGCTCCAGATGTGACAGCTGCTCGGCTCGCTGCTGTAAAGACATCTCCAGCTGCTGCACTCTGCTGCGGAGGCTCTCGTTCTCCTGCACGTTGAAACCGATGACAAGTGGAAGTAAGTTTGCATCAAGATTTTTTTTTTTTAACTCCTGATTAATTCGGAGTCATTTAATATTTAATATCTGCTGATTCCGAGTCCAAATTTGAAACCATTTTCATAGACAATGTACACTTTAAATATTGTGGATTAGCTGTGGCACCTGGTTGCTCCACCAATTCTTACTTCATAATACTGTAGCAACCAAAGCACTTCATGTGTCTGCAGCAGAGGAGGCTGCATTTTCAGAGACACAGTTTTTGGACCCTGTATGTTTCCATCTGCCAAATTAGATGTTTGCTAAAGTGTGTGACTTATGGTTTTTAAGGTTTATTACACCAAACATACATACAGTTTATCTAGAGGTATGGTTACATATTAACTTTTAAGGTCTATTCCAATGGATGGATGGATGCCAACAAGCTAATTTGGGTTTTAGTAGTCAAATCAAAATATTACTTTCTGTGCTCAAATAGTACTTCCTAATTAACAAGTTTTGGTTTTAATGGTCTAAGTCAATCAAAATGTTATTTTCTGTCCAAGGACTTTTAAAATTTCAAAGGATTAATCCATTCAAATAGCACTTCTTAACGAACGAGTTTTGATGTAATGGTTTATTTTGATCAAAACATTACGTTCTGTACAAGTACTTATAATTTTAAAGGTCTATTCCAAATCCAAATGGCATTTTCTAATTACCGGTAATACAATCGTGTTTTGACAGTTTATTCCAACCAAAATATTACTTTCTGTTCAACCACGTATAGTTTCAAAACTGTATTCCACCCAAGAGTACTTAATAAACTAACAGGTTATTGTTTTAAAGGCTAATTCCACCCAAATAGTAATTTTTAGCTAACAATTTATGGTTTTAAATGTTATATATTCCCATGGCATGTATAATAGCTGCTTTTGTTGCCTGTATCCATCGTTCATGGCTTTAAACAGCAATAACAACATTGGACAAATGCCCACTGTGCCCCATTCATTTTATAAATGAACCACTCACAGATTAATAATGCTGCATTTATTAACAAACCTATTTAAATTTCCCACAGGTGTGATAGCAGCTGAAAACAAAGGATCAGGCTAAAACCCATGGCAATACCAATCAGTTAAAAATTGCCTTGATTGCTAATTAATCTGTTAATAGGACACCGGTGAGATGTGAGGCCACTGAGCCGGTGCTTCTCACCTTGATGAGCATGCTGCTGGACTGGGATGGGATGGCAGAGAGCTGCTGCAGGAGGCCTTGAGTTACACTCAGGTTCTGCTTCAGACTCTCGTTCTCTGCTGACAAACACAAAACTCGCTTCTCTGAGTCTGTGGCCCCCTGCGGAAATGAAACACAAGGCTGAGTTCCAGCATAACGAAGAGATCAATCAAAACCAAAGCGCTTCTCCAGGTGAAATCTTCACACATTTATCTATAAATGAGCTCCCTTTGACAATTTATGACGCCCTGGCTTGGCATTCACAGCTCTATTTTTATATTTAGTCGGCGTGGCAGCTTGGCCGTGACGTGGAAAGTGACAAAGACTTGACGAATGATTAAATCGATAGTTTGCAGCACTTACGGTGGCTGTTCGCAGTCGTGACAACTCCTCCTCACGCTCCTCTATGCAGCTCTTGAGCTCATCAATCTGCAAAATCAGAACATTTAAAAATCTGGTCAAAATTTGAGAATGTAGATACATAAGACTCATATTTCTTTCTATTACTTGCAGAAAACTGTGCTGTTATCTCATTCTGCTCTTTTATGCAATATTTATCAGAAGATTTTTTTCTCTTTTGGGGAGATACAGAATCACACAACATGCACGATAACAAAGGACATGAGAGGCTTTTTACATTTAGGAAAATATGCTTCTGCAGTAACCGAGAGTGCTCATAAGTGACATTCATAGACATGAAATGAAGCTTAATGTAAATTCTAATACAGGTATACAAGGTTTTGTAATAAAAAATTCACACCTGATTTGTTATTCATGGATTTCATGCAGCATTAAATCTTCTAAAATGGGATTAAACTCCAACCTGCTGTTGAAAGGCTTGTATACGAGAGTGTCTGTCTCTCTCTTTCTGCTCCAGCTGTGAGTGCAGCAGACGGAGTTCTCCTCTCAGCTGACTCCTCTCGCCCTGCAGGCCGTACAGAGACTCCACCAGCCTGTGAACGCCGGCCTGTGCCCCTGCATCACTGCTGCACTCACCTGGAGGACACAAAGAAGACACATTATTATCATCAGCCTGGCAAAGTAGCCATATTCAGTCATATTTATACTAGAAATAGCCGCAGCTAATATCATTTGAACTGCCCTTGACCTGTTTTCTATACGTAATCTGTCATTTAGGACCATTTTCCGCTGCACGCCTGCATGTGAGTGTAATATTAATGAACATTAAATATGTACTTTAGAGCTCTTTACACACACCGTGCCGTCACCGCGCTCTCATGGTTGCGTTTCTACTCTCAGTTCCCAGAAACCTCAACAGGATTACTGCAGCTTCTCATTTCGAGTGCAGAATTCAACATTCATAACGTGCAACAGCCCACTAAAACTCCTCTATTGTGCAGCAGCAACCTGAGCAGCATGCCCAACACTATTTTAATCATTTCCCTCCTCCTCAATGATTTATCCGGCCCTGTCACCTCTGATTTTCGTTGCGGGGCTTTATGCTAATTTTATCAACAGGCCGTGTCACGTTCGCCGTGTCACAGCGCATCAGTGAGCTCTGAAGAAAGAATCTGCAAGAAATGTGAGAATCCATTCCAGTCTGCAGGGGGACTGAAATAATATTTAAAATTTTAAAACAGCAGCTTGAAGCTTGAATCCACTGAAAGGTTCACAAAACAGTCATTCAAACCAAACACAGCAGCCAAAAAATGCACAAGTGGTTACTGCACATTGAAGATGCACAGCATCACTCCTACGCTCGGACCTGCATGTTGCACTACAGTAAATAAACAAAGCGAGCATCCTTGTAACACCGGGACACGGACCTCGAGGCTATTTTTAGCCCAACACGTTTCCACGTGCGGCCAAACATGTGCCCGACCTTGTAAGTGCATTTGCAGAGAATCAAACTGCACTAACAGTCCTGTTTTATTCATGACACTGAGTCACAGTATCCGAGTACCAAAGACTCTCAGCCACGAACTGCATAAATATCTCCGTCCACCACCTAATGAGAGTTACCACACATGAGATCCTCTACTTAAATATACCCGACAACCTGGTTGGGTTATCACACATGCTGACTTATTCCTCTGAGGCTCCGTCGGGCAGCCTGAGGTCAAGCTTCTGCCTCCAGCTCCATGGAGGCGTTAACAAGCTGAACATATGCCCAGCACAGAGAGGCAAGACAGGGCCATCGGTAAGGTTCTGCTCTGAGGCCGAAGAGGCATCTGGTCCAATCTGAAATGCAGCAGATGCAGACATCTGAAGCTGTGAGGTCAGTCGCAGCTGCACAGTGTTTGTCTGGTCCCTCTGTGAATCTAATCAGTCTGTTCTTCTGCTGATGACTCTAATCTTCTATTAAAAAAATGTGCCCAAAAAAATCAAATTCTGTTCCAAAACTAGTAGAAAAAAACACATCACATCATTAAAAACACATTCAATAATTGATTCTTCTCAAGTCTGTTAACATTTTGGAATATTTCTGGACTTCCAGCACCATAAATGAAGCCGCAGAGCTTTCTCATATATATTACATAACCCCCTGCTACACCTATTGTACCAGCATGTGAAAATGACTTTCTTTATTCAAGCTCTTCCCAGCTCATCCACCTCAGATGATCTAACCTGAAGTCTCGTATCAGAAATCCACCTCTTGTCCCCTGTGCAATTTTCTGTACACGCCAATAGATCTACATTTCTGTTATTAAAACGACCCCGTGACCTCCACTTCTCTCGGTTTTCCATCATCTTCACAGCCACTGAATGGACAATGTGAACGTGTCCCTCTTTACATCCCTTCCCCCATCTCCCCCTCACCCTCACTCAGCGGACTGGGTGATGATTGCTGGCTGATGGCCTCCTCCAGGCTGCTTATGATGCTGTTCTTGTCCCGGAGGCGCTGGCGGTAGGAGGTTCGCAGGGCCTTCATCTGCCGCCGGTGCTGGACGCGGTGCCTCTTCAGCTGGACCCGGTACTGGTCGGCCTGCTGCTGCAGCTGCTGGAAGTGCGAGTACTGCTCCAGAAAACTCAGCAAGTGGGACATCACCGCCACCAGGGGAGACTCGGCCAACTGCTCAAAGAAGCACGTAGAAAAGTTTAGCAGCGGCGCAGTGCAGGGCGTCTATTTATGTTGCTGCATCAGGTGGGCAGCTCAGCTGAGGCGAGAACACGCTTTTATTACCTTCCCTGTTGTTTCCAGCTGGACCTGAGAGGCTCTTCTCTTCTCGGCCTCCTGCTTGAAAGACAAGAAGGCAGCCAGAGGGGTGCATGCTGGGATGTCAGGGCCTTCTGCCTCATCTTCCTCACTGACTTCATCACTGTCACTGCTGCTGCCTGCATGACAAAGGAATGCGTGTGCTAATTAATCAGCTGATTAGTGTAAACATTTGATTTTAATAAATACATCATTCCTCCATCGTGCAAGATTTATTTAAGCTCTGAAAAGCAATCTGAGGACTCACTTGATTCACTAAGGCGAGCACAAGCTTTTTTCCCCGTTTTGGAGGAGTGGCCATCTCTCCTCCTGCTCCCTGTTCCCATGGAAACAGCTCCTGGTTCCTGAGCACAGCATCATATATATGAGGGTCAGACAGTGATACACGCACAAAATATTTACACAATGCATACATAGACATGCGCACAACCTGATGTCTGCATGCTCCCCATACATTTTTTTATTTTTTATTTATTTTTTTATTTTTATCAGACAGAGGACCCCCCCTGAGGCTGTACAGGATGCGACGAGACATACGTCTGGGGAAGCTCCACATGCCTCCTCCAGGGCTTCCTCCTCCTCCTTTTTAAAGACAGTGTAGAAGATGTAGACTAAAAGGGAGTAGAAGGCGTACATCTCCACGCTGTCCAAGAGCCCCTGTAAGTCACAAATGGACTTGTAAATTGCGCACCGCTTTAGAAAAAATAAAAAAAATGCAGACAATTCCATTCTAACATAAATGTAATGATCATCACATTCCCTGTATACCAGGACTTCTCCATTTTTAAAGCCACTCCATTCCATCATGCTAAAATGCTTCATATTCTTTACCTTATCAAATGTTTCCTCCTCTTTCCTGACAATCTGACCTTCCAGACATTCCGCTGTCACACTCCATCTGTGCTGCCAATGACAGCTCCTCCCGTGCAGCTCTCGTTCTCAGAGCTGCACCAGCATCTCAGCTCTGACTGAATCCTTCTCCTGTGTGGCTCCTGCTCAGCCGTCCCCGTCTCTCCTCCCCTTCCTCCTCCTACTTCTCTCCACTGTGCTCCAGCTACAGGCTGCATCTGCAGCGAGCATGCTCAGTGCAGTTGCCCGATGCGCTGCAGTGGTGAAGAGGCACATACTGAGCAGATTATGGAGACTGATTGAGCTGCTGGGGGTTGATGCTGATACCAGCATCTGGAGGCAGACGTGGATGAGATGTGCCAAGCTCCAGGTGCTTGTAAAAATAAAATAAAAAAACTGCAGTGTGAGGCACTTGAGATGTTTACGAGAACACTCATAAATGGTATAACAGTTAGACAGGTGATGCATCTCAAGAATGCAAAGCAAAGTTGAGTAGCTAGGGTCCTATTTGGGGGATAAAAGTTTAATTTGTGTTGCAAGTTATGTTGCTATTACCCTCATTACTGGAATTTTACTTTTCTATTAGCAAAAAAAAAAGTTAGAATTTGATAAATGAAAACACAACAGCACAATTATCATCATCATTTTAGGCTCTTCAAAGTCACAAATGCCCCCAAAAATGACCTTACATGTTAAAAAGTAGCACCCAATGGCCGAGTGGTTAAGGTGCATAAAACATGAACACATGCAAGTTTGATTCCAGGCTTCCAAGACTATTTTCTGCGTGTCATTCCCCTGCTTTATTCACTGCAACATGCACATAAAGTCTGAAAATGTCCCAAAAATTCCTAAAAATACCAAGTACCACTGAGCACCTCTGCTCTGAAGTTCAACAAAGGCACCGTCCCAGAGGCAGGCACAGAGCCACACAAGCTCGCACAATCACTGCAGCAAAACTGCTGAGGCAGCTGCTCACACCCCTGAAACCCCTCGAGGGAGAATCTGCAGCATCCACCACAAATCTCTATAAAGAATATCAATATCTTGCAAGGACAGCAGTGTGGACAAGCAGGATTACACACACCTCATTTAGGTGATTACACAGACGAGGTTATTTCAGGTCGCAGCGTTTCAGGCGCTACAGCACAAGGAAGAATTTTTCTCAAAAAATTTGCATTGATAAGTATCAATCTGTGTCCTGATGCGGGGAGAAGTGGGATGAGAGCTTTGACCACTGCAGATATTTTTACAGTCATACTGCTGAGTCTGCAGAACAAATCACCCCGACTCTGAGGCAGCTGGATGTTTTTTTTTTTTTTTGGAATCCATAACATTAAAACTGTAAGCAGAGAGGTGTGAGCAGGGTGTCAATGAACTGACAACAGCAGGGGTGGAGCCACAGGGGGGCCAGGACCACCACAAACTACAATCTGGGCGTCAAACACAACCAGCAGTGAAGCCTGTTAAGAGGGATACGCAGTACTGTAGTTAGATCCAGTAAGATGGCAAATCTCTTTTGCAGAACTATTTCTCTTGCTGTTTCTATAGAGATGCACTTTAACAGCTCAATTACCCCCCCAATCAACGACATACAACCAAAGAAAATGCAAAGATTTCATATTAATGGCATTAAAACATGCGTTTGCTTTTATATTTAAATAAGGATCTGTTTGTTTTGTAGCTGAAGCGAGTGTGATTTAGGTTTAGCTGTGGAATTAATTGAAGCTCTTCTAAAAAATCTTACTTTGAAGAGCTCCTGAAACACACTCACGCTCCTCCTGTGTGGGTTGAGGCAGCCACAGTGGGTGAACTGTGGTCTCACACAATTTAGTTTTTAGCAGTTAGTTGAGTGGTGTCTGTGCTTTGTATAATCCTGTGCCAAGTTCTTGGTCTAACACCTACTGTAGATTCAAGAAAAAACAAACAAAACTCAAAAAACGAACATGAGAACAAACAGTTGACTTGTTAGCATGAAGCTGTTTTTCACTGCAGGAAGTTGTGGAGTGTTTTAGGGCGAATAGAACCTTCGTGTGTGTTCCAGTTTGCAAGGACTGCCCCCGTAGATTATTATTGTTATTAGAAGACATGGAGTTTGTTCACATGCAGGCTCCATGTGTGCACAGCAAAAAGAGTGAGGACTAATAGAAACCACTGAAAAGTAAGATTTGGCTGTTAAACAACATCAGCTGCATGGAAATAAAAAAGGTTATGGTGACAGAAAACCGGTATTCTGTCTGTATTGTCTTTCAGTCCTTTCAATTCAGTTGTTTGAGCATTTAAATCAGCAGCACAAAGCTCTGCATGACGAGTGCAAAGTCAGATCTGAATGTCAACCAAAGCAAAACACTATTTTGCATCTCTTTGGTAGTGTTACGTCATACGAGTCCAAACATCTTTATACAGCCTTTTTTAAATCATTTTTTATTTTTAATGCAGATGTAGTCCTCTAAAAAAAAACATCACACCAATCATTCTTGAACGATAAATGCTTTCCAAATAGATTTATTCAAGTCATCTGGTGAAATCTCCTGTAGTGTTCTCATATAGTACAAATCTCACAGTGTCAGTGTTTATTCAAATAGCTCCCAACTGGTGCAGCATAGCCTATCCATGTAGTGTTTTTGTTTGAGAAATTATTTAGTCAATTTAATATCAGAAAATGAGAAAAAAAAATTAGGAGCCACAATTTCTCTGCAAAGTGTCATTTTCAATTTGCTTAGTTTGTCAGAACATCCGTTTAAAACTCATGAAACACATTTAATTCAACTGAAATCATGACATTTGAGAAACCAGCTAATCATCTTCTTTCAGCAGCTCTATCTTCAGCATCCTTCTCCCAATATACTCAGCATCTCTTACGCATCATTAACCCTGAGCTGATTCTTGATCCTATCTGTCCTCACCCCTCCAGGTCTGAGCGTTTTCTACTCAGGCATCTCCAAACTCTGCCTCCTGTCTTTTCGTCAGGGGCAGCATCTTCCACCTATGTATCATAGCTGCCATCGAAAGCAGAACAAGCTTTGAGTTAATAGGCACGTTAAACTTCTGCATTTGTCACTTAGCTAAATGTCACAACGGTCAGTCACATCCAGCAGATACTTCCCCAGAGCCTGCGTCGAGGCCCAACAGCCAATTGACATCGACCCTTTCAAAAGCCACTTCATCAGTCCTTCTGTGGCAGCTGCTGAAATGAGCGGCGCTAAAGAGTTCGCTGGAGCAACAAGTAAAGGCAGGCTGAGGCCCACGCCGCCCAAAGCCCCTAAAGCATTGCCGGCAAACAGGCACACCGTCAGGCAGCAGGACAGAGACGACAGGCCTAGGCAGCGAGTCATGACGGTCAGAGAGTCCGCCGAGAGCCAATCAGAGAGTCCGAGAAGCAGGCAGGAGCCACACAGCAGGACGTGGGCCGTGTTGTGGTCCTGGCTGAGCCACAGGAAGTCGAAGGAGACCAGCGCCGGGGCCAGAAGCTCGCCGGCCCACTCCGCTTCCCTCTGGAGGGAGCTGAGGTTGGAGCCGCAGGGAGGCAGGAGGCAAAGAGCTGCAGAGAGGCCGAGCAGGAAGAGGCCGACTGAAGGACCCCTGTGGTTCTGCAGAAAGAGAGAAGAAGAGATGGATGTAGAGGCTGAATTACAAATGAGAAAGTCCAGATTTAAGCAGAAATGAATCATACCACTGCCTAATTTAGATTTTTATTTGACAAATAGGTTTCTTTTGCTGGAAATTATATTAGCAAGTGACAAAAGACAGAAAGACGTGGTGTTAGAGATGTTTGTTGTTTTTTTTTTCCACTCATTTTTATTAAAAATGCCATGTCCAAAATTAATCATACTCTTTCTCAGGAATCAGTATCAAAGTCTTTATTTTCCTTCTAGTGTCTAACAGTCTTTCTGGGATTTAGTTCCTCCAAGTGTCCATCTGCAGCTCTCGGAGCTTGAAGGCTTCCTCTCCATCACTCTGCTCTTCAGCTCCTCCACAGGTTCTGGATGGATTCAGGTCTGGACTCTGACTGAGCCGCTCCAACATCTCCTCATTGTTTCCTCTTCACCGTTTCTTCACCACTTTGGCTGCATGTTTCACATCATTGTCTTGCTGAAGCTCCAAAGCTGCCCAAGGAGCAGTGTTCCTGCAGACCGCCTGATGTTCTCATCTGTTCTCATGATGCAGTTTCCTCTGACCAGGCTGTCTGGTCCATCGGCTGAACAACAGCCCCAAAGCATCACGTTCCACCACCATGTTGGACCGTGGGAATGCTGCTCTTGGACTAAATGCATCTCGTGTCTTTCACAAAACAAAAGCCACATCTCTGAGTCCAAACAACTTCATTTTCATGTGATCATACCACAGAACAGATTACCAGAAAAAGCGGCTAAAAGGGATGTAAATCATTTTGGACATGACATATTTGGTGAAAATGCAAAAATATACATAGAAATAGTTTAAATCTGTATTTCTATTGTTTTTTGTCACTTGACAGAAGATGGTTAAAAAAAATTCTGTCAACATCTGGCCTGGGTAGGAATCATTTGGGACTCAACTATTTCTGCTAATAATCCACAGATTATTTAACAGTTAACCAACATTCATTCAGTCTTTCAACAATAAAAAAAAAAAAAGCCAACTACAGGTTCTTAAAGCCAATTAGCTGCAAATTCAAACTGTCTGAAACAAAATATACTCAGATTACTCTCATTTAGGTGAAGAAAAAGCAGCATCCTCACATGTAAGATGCTGAAAATGTAATGCTTATATCAAAACATATGCACCAGCATTATACTGAGTGAAACCCACCTTAAAGAGTTTGTAAGACGAGTACAGAGCTGTGGCCGACAGAATGATGTTAAAGCACGATGTGATCCACTCGGTGACACAGGACGCCATTGATCCTGCAGACGATTCAAACAGCACCGTTACTGACAGCGACACACAAAAGCGCTCAGCTCCTACTTAAAGTGTGTTTTATTAGCTAATAAAACTGCAGCACGTACCCGAATCTGGGCTGATTTATCATGGATGAACACGGAGGAAGCACCGGAGAAAACTTTCAGTAGAAACGTTTGTTTGGACACGTGACAACTCTGGATTTGTACAGTGCGCAGGCGCAGAAAGATGAGTTCACGGCGACTCGTAAACTCTGCGGCTCCGCCACCGAAACAGTCACTTTAATGTCTAAATTTTACTAATGTAGTAATAATAACTATAAAATTTCTGCAGATGTAAAAACTAAATAGATAAATCGTACTTTCAAAGCCATTTGATTGGCTTTTGTCTAAGCATGTGCTTTAGAAATAAAACGATATCAAGTCTGTTATCAGCTTTTAAACTACTTGAAAGCTATCTGTCTATATTTTTTGAAAAACAAATATGTAACATAGGCATAGATTCCATTTGAACATTGCATGGGACTGGGAAATTTTGATTGCTATTGTTATCCAAGCATCTCATTTGTGTGTCCAGGTACATTTTAAAACATTTTTTGCTTGGCTACGTTACAATTCAGAGCTCCATACATCAGTGTATTTTGAATCTAGGTAAATATTGAATGAGTGAATCAATGAATAGAATGGAATAAAATACAGTACAGCTCTGAGGCGTTCTGCATTACTACCAAATATTAATATAACTCCAGTAGATCAACTTTTCTTATTTAATATTATCTCTGCAGAGTTAATACACACATACAGTCATGATTTACGCTTCTGTCCTCTTATGGTTCTTTTGTTTTGGTAGTAACTTTTTTTTAAAAATATGTAGAACCTTTTGCGCCTTTTACTCAAAGGCGCATATCCTCTGCCTCTCAATTGAAACCTACTCCAATACCTATAAGGACTTTGGAGGAGTAATCTTTGGGTCAGGAACGGGAGATTTCATTTTTTGGACGGTCCCTGAAGGCAGCAAAAGTTCGAAAAGTATGGCGGCGGAGTGTTTGACAACATTAACAGAACAGTGGATCCGAGAGAGATTACAGCTGAAACACCCATGTCTCGGTAACGATATATGATTCTAATGCAAACGTCGACTATGGATAAATACCAGAAAATATTAGTTAAAGCTGAAATGTTAAGATGAAAACTGTCGTAGCGAGGTATCTTTTAGGCCTCAGCATCTAAGCTAACGGATGCTAATGTAGCATCAACTGTCACCTGCTACAAACCAAACTAGTAATGATGATGGTTTTACCTTTTTTTTAACAGGGGATGTTCGGACTTTAAGCCTCCCGGGGACGTTTGAGGAGAAAATCAGACATCTGGGAAACGCTCTGAACAACTTTGTCCGTCTGAAGTCTCTGGATCTGTCCTGCAATGCGCTGGTTTCTGTTCAGGTTTGTTCCACATCATGTTGAAGTGGCACAGTCGAGTCCATAATTATTCTTATCCATGCAAAATCTTGATTTAGAGTAAATTAATATGTGACCAACAGGCTTTTTTTTCTGATTGCAAATGACATAAACGAATAATACAAGGTTGTGTTACAGATGTTAATGATGAATTTTAACTATTCATCTGCTGTTTTTCACATCTTTACTAAAAAATCTGTCATGTCTGAAATCATTCATATTCTTTGTCAGTTTAATATGTTGAAGAGTTTTAATTTGACCCCAGTTGTTGTGGTTGCTAATAAATAAATAAACGTATATTGTACATTAGCTAAAAAAAAAAGGTGACAATTTCATAGAATATAAAAAAAATGGTACAAACATGGTACTTTTGGCAAAAATATACAATGTCTTACTGCCCTTTGTCATTTGTTTACTTTAGCCAGAAGAAATCTATAGGTCAACAAGAAATAAATAAACTAAAAATCTAAAATTTGCATGGTTGTTATACATTTTGGGTTTAACTTTATATTGAAATCAGCATTTATGAATATATGCTGCAACAGAAGTTTTATCAATCAAGGCTTTTTATGGCTGTAACATTCAATCAAACTGAGATATCATGTGGCATAACTTCATATATGATCCTGCATAAAAGCCTGACATTTGTTATCTTATTATCTGCTGTTTGGAACCCTAAAATTTTCAATAAATTGTCATGTTTTTGAGCTGTACAGAACGACTCAGCTTGAAGCGTTATTGGAGTTTCAAAGGTTGTTGTATTAGCAGCATTTTCTTTTGTTTGCAAAGTTCAGGACCAATTCCAGCCACCGAAATTCATGACTTTAGGGAAAATGAAAGAAAATTCACACCCTGTGGAAGTTTTCTCTTTTTGTTGCCCTTTAGCGTTCAGTTTTGTTCCAACTGATTTGGCTTTTTGGACAAGAGTTAACAAAACAAGACTCTGTCATGTCAAAGAGGAAACTGATTTCTACCATGTAATGTCATTGAGATAAAAATATAAAATAAAAGCCAAACGTCCAAGGTGGATGAATACTCTTTATATGCACTGTACCTCTTTGAAAATACTCTCCAACACATTGAAAGGAAAGAAATGTATTCTGCAAACACACCTCGCTCACCATAACATGCATTTTTCACATTTTTGTTGTAGATTTATTGGCAGATACACCCACTGTTACCTGAAATCTGCTTAAACTTCACTGCTTTCTTCTCAGGGGGTGCAACACTTGAAGATGCTGGAGAGGCTGATCCTCTACTATAACCGCATACCTTCACTTGAAGAGGTAGAGGTGCTGTTCGAGCTCACGGCTTTAAAAGAGCTGGACCTCAGGCTCAACCCTCTGACTAAAAACTACCCACACTACCGGCCTTATCTGGTGCACGCCATGCCCAACCTGCGCAAGCTGGGTAAGACGTAGCCAGAATGTGCACGCCTTAGTTTGTGTTTTTCGTATTAATACGTGTTTTTTTTATTGCTTTCCAGACAGCTGTTCAGTCAGAGACACCGAGCGCAAAGCTGCCATACTGCAGTTCTCCTCTGACCTTCTTCCCCAGCAGCAGAGCTCCTCTATGAGTCCACCTGAAGATCAAAGGTACACTGAACACGAAATGCTTCAGCTTAAATGAGTTTCAGCTCATTTTGCTGCATGGAAATGTCAACCGAAGATCCAGGAACAGATGAGGCACAGAAACGAAGAATTTAAATTAGATTTATTTCAGAGCAGGCATCACAAAGTTTTCCTGACAGTAGCTTGAAAAATGATGAGAAGTAGATTAAATATAACATTAGAAAGGTGATTTTGCTATTCAATCAAATGAGCATTTGTAAACTCAATTTTAAAGTATTTATGAGTGATTGATTTCATCTTTCTTACTTTGTTTACTTTTGAGCCATCATTCCTCTGTGTTAATTATTGTTTAATTTCACCCTGAGCTGAGAAGCACTTTGCAAAACCTTGGATTAATCTGAGCAAAAAATGAATCATCCCTCTGACATTTGTAATGATGATTTGCAGGTACATGAATAAATTAGTGATCTGGGCACTATAAATAGCCACAATCGTGCATAATGGTCATACGTAGCTGCTCGGGCATTGTTGGAGAACCTTGCCAAGGCAATACAGCCTATAAATAGCATTTCCTCTTTTCGTTTTTTTTTTTTTCTTCTACTTTTGAGGTCAGGCTGTAGAAAATCCAGGCCATGATGGGAGATTTTAACCAGTCACAGGGCTGTTCACCAATCAGATGAAATAGTACAAACAACAACAAAGCTGGCAGTAAGAACAGTGGGGTAGGTGGAGGACTTTAAAGCTCGGGTGAAGCAACAAATGAAAGTTTAAATTTATTATCTTTTGTGCATTTAAAGTGTGTGTTTGTCTGGTAGGAGGTAACAGAGAGGGATGAGCTACAGGTGGAGAGTTGTATATTTGCAAAACCTCTCTGTTGTCCAGAGTTCTGCCTTCTGTAGCTTCAACCTTGACAGTAACAGCCACATAGGGAATGAAATAGAACTTAAAATCTATTGCAACCCTGATTTTTATTCCTTTCCGCTGTCTGCTTTGCCGTCTTGTTGTGTCTGTTTTTCCAGAAGCAGCAATCAGAGGCTGGCTTTAGTCAACCGCTTAACCAAGAGGCTTTCTCTCCTGACTGACAGCCAAGATATTGTGCTGAACTTTGTAGAGACCAATCACGGAGTCCAGGGTGAAACCGTCTCAGTTCACAAGGAGGCAGAGGGTGAGATATCAAAGTCTAAAAAAGCTTATTCTCAAATCTACAACAAACCAGATGAATTTCGGTTTTACTTCTGTTCATTTCAGAACTCAAAGAGGAAGATTTAGAAGATTTTACCCAACAGAGGAGTTCAACTCCAAAACAGGTGAATTTATTTGATTCAGGGTTAAACATTATTACCAGTAGTATATTTACATTTTTAAATATCTGTGCTGTTACTTTTAGGAAACTGCAAAATCCATCCTCAGGTATCCCCTTACAAAAAATGGTAAGTCTTTTTGGATCTTCTTTGTCAGAGACTCCAGTGGAGTTATTTGCAAGTTGCAATGAATAATCGATTAATGAATTAGTTTTCAACTATTTTTATAATTAGTTTCAGTCATTATCTAAAGAAAAAGGTCTAAATTATCTGATTCTAGCTTCTTAAATGTGAATATTTTCTGGTTTTGTTCCTTCTCTATGACAGTAAACTGAATATTTTGGAAACAAAACAAAACATTTGTCATCTTGAGTTCTTGGAGACACTGATTGACATTTGTTTACTATTTTCTGACAATTTAGAGAGAGACCAAAGAACTAATGTAATGACTGGGAATTCTGATGGATTAATCGTAGCAACTGGGCTTGCTTGAGTTCCTTGAAGACGTTTCACCTCTCATCCAGTTGCTACGATTAATCCACGAGAATAACCATGACCTGGATGACTGAGAATCTTCACAGACAATGATCGGGAAAATAATCAACAGATTAATCTACAGTGAAAATGTCTGTGTGGATCTAAGTGCTTCATTAGGAGGACAGAGAGTGCAGCAGTTGAAATCTTTGGAACACGACTTTGTTTTATGGTGATTTTCTCTGCTTTAGTCTTTACTAATGGAACAAAAAAAACACGATCTATGAGCAATTCTTTTTTACATCTGATATTTGTTGTGATAATGTAAAGAATTCACTTTGATTTCGTGATGAGAAAAGTTAAATTACCCTGACATAGTTAATAAGAGAGGCCTTAATCACAGGAGTTGTCCCCAGTGTAAGTTCTTTAGTTGTGGGCAATGTGTCTATCAACCACTAGGTGGAGACAAGAGCTAACTCTGATTTATATTTATCACAGCGTGTCTGTTAAAGGTTGATCAATTAATAAGTGTTTCTTTTATCTCGTTTGTGATTCACCAGATAACACGGAGTCCAAAGGGCCACAAGTGAAAGAACCTTCTCATAATAAAAGCTCTACCTCATTAAAAGTTGCTGAAAGACCGAAAGTGTCCTTTGGACCCTACATAGAGAAACCTGTGTCTGGAAAACAAAAGCAAAGGGACTCCTCCAAGCACACCAGACATGCAGCCAAGGGCCATTTTACCCCAAATCCTGGTACGAGTTACATTTCTGGCCGTCACAAAAGCACTAGTTTAGAATTAATGCATATCCACATTTCTAAATTTCACTTTAATGTGTGATTACAACATTTTTCCAGATCAAAGCCAGCGCCATAGCTCTTCATTTAGTAACATCAGACCTCCCAGTCCACGGCGTCCTGGTTTGAATCTGTCTGACCCCTCTGACCCCGTCTTACACCCCCCACGACTGACCTACTCCAGCTTCAACAAGACAGAAGGGGGCTCCAGTCTGCCGCAGCAAGCCGACAAGAAAAAAAGGGTCGGCAGTTAAATCAGTCCCTACAAATCTGCACAGCGAATCATGAATCATTCCATTTGAAGTCTTTTCTCGCATATCAACTGACAGTCTTTTTGAATTCACCTCTCAGGGCAGCTACAGGAAACCCCTGGAGATGCTCCTCAACCTCGTGGACAAACACTGGACGGGAGAGCGATCTCTGCATCATAACAACAACTTCCTATGTGAGTTTGTTTTCTCAGGAATGTGGCATCTGATTACAGGAGCCTGGGATAATGAATGTCCTCTCATCTTTTCTATTTCGGGCTCCAGCTCAGGCGGTGCAGATCCTCTCGATGATGGAGAGCGATATTTCCAGTCGGGAGGCTGAGGTCAGGACCTTGAGACGGGAAGCTGATGCGCTGAGCTTTCAGGCGGCGACGCGAGAGGAAGAGCACAAAACCGAAGTCCGCAACCTTTCTGCTCAGCTGGAGGAAGCTCGCGGAGCAGTCGTGAGTTCATACCCAGTTGTATGAAGCCATAATAGCGTTGAAAGGTGCCCTATATTATTCATTGTGCTCATTCTAATGCAGGGCAAATTGAATGAGCAGCTGAGGATCGTCTTAGAGGAAAATGTTGCGCTGCAGAAACAGCTCATCAAGTTAGAACGTCAATATCTCAAGTCCATGATGAAGAGTTCGCCTATTACTCAGATCAGAGGTGGGTGTAAATGTCAGGGGGAGATGTTATACAACAGAAGTGAGGGCACCCCTGGGCAATATCACTTAAATGTCAAATGACTAAGAATTGTATCACCTTCTAATAACTGCATCACATTGAACAGTAGGATCTTTGTTACCGTGTCAAATTAAAAACGAGCAGTTTAGATTTACTGAACTAAAAATACAGGCCCCACAGTATGAACTCAATGCAATTTTTCCAATTCTTATGTCCATCTTTAGTTTCAATGTCAGACCCAGTCCTCCTCTGGCCAGAGTTTTTTCTTTTATGTCATTCTTCAGGGACTACTTTGTCAGCTGCTCTTTGGGGTTGTGTTGCTCTGCCTTTCTCTTTAAATTCACCAAATGTGTTCTATTCAGTTCAAGTCAGGCCACATACTGGTCCAGGTCGCAGTGCTTTACTTTCATCCATCCATCCATCCATCCATCCATCCATCCATCCATCCATCCATCCATCCATCATCTATACACCGCTTATCCTCACTGGGTCGTGAGGGGGCTGACTTAGCGTGAAGGCAGGAGACACCCTGGACAGGTCACCAGTCTATCACAAGGCTACACTTAGAGACAGACAACCAAGCACACTCACATTCACACCTACGGACAATTTAGAATCACCAATTAACCTCAACATGTTTTTGGACTGTTTGGGAGGAAGCCGGAGAACCCAGAGAGAACCCACGCTGCACGGGGAGAACATGCAAACTCCACGCAGAAAGATCCCGGGTGTCCTCACCAGGACGCAAACCGGCAACCTTCTAGCTGCGAGGCAACGGTGCTAACCACCTTTCACCTTGCAGCCCTCTTTAGAAACTCAGAGTCATCTTTGCAAGTAGGTGGATCTATAAATGTCATCAACACATTTTGCCCTCACGCAGCCCCACATCATCACACTCCAACCTCCGTGCTCTACTGTCAGGACTATGCATTCACTGTGGTAGTCCTGGTCAGGTTCACACCAGACATGCTGGACTTAATCTGAACAAGACAAATTTATTTTGGTCCTTTTCAACCAAAGAATGGTCCCAATATTCATCATTTTTTCATGTTGCTTTGTAAAGTTTAATCTTGCAATTTATTACCAAAGAGCTAGCAGGATTTTTCTAAAGTTTCATGTTAAGCAGTGTCCTTTACACTGTGTGAGCTGTCACGCAAATTCTGATTTCCGCTGATAGCCCCTGTGGCATTTGCAAATCTACCCATCTGTTTTTGTAGAGCTACATCTAGAAAGTAGTGCACCACTACTGTGGTGTCAGTTTAAGAGGACGACCACTGCAGCTCTGATTGGTGGTACTATGTCTCCTTCTATACCTACTGAATGCTGCTACTACATCATTTCTCCACATGGAAAAAAATTACCAGAGGAACTAAGAAACCTTATTGAAACCAGACATGCAGATAGATACAGCCCATATATCCAAAACTGAGAAAGTTACGGTGGTTATAGCTTTTTCTTTCCATCATGCAGGCCAATTGGAAATCACAGGTGTACTCGGTTTTGTTGCATCTACTTTGGGGCCATAAGCCAGAGCACATAGGAGAATACAGTTTCCTGTTGAACTGAGAAATAATACAGTTATTAAGAAGTGATGCAGTTTTGAGTGATTTGACATTTAAGTACATCTGTGTGCTTCTACACTTCTGTTGTACACTTAACATATGAGAGAAACTTGTGCTGTTTTCAATAATAAGTATTATACTTTGCTCACCCTCAGAGGCCCAGACAGAAGTAGAGGAGCTCAGGAAAGAGATCGAGGGTCTGAGGAAGAAAGTTCAGGAGGCCGAGAACGTCAAAGAGCTGTCGAATATGCTGCAAGAAAGCCACAGGTAAAAAAAAAAGCTGCGGCCATCTTAGTGCTGACACTTGCTTTTTACTGTATCTACACACCCACAGTGCGGGTACAGTCATGTTATCTCACCTCTGAATCAGACTCTTCGTTGGTTGTTTACGTGATCTGAAAGCGTCTGTGTTTGTGCTGCAGGTCCCTGGTGGCTACCAACGAGTGTTTGCTGGCTGAGCTGAAGGGAAGTGGCGAACATTAAAGCACAGTTTGACTGCAGAGATGCCCTCCAGGATAAAAAAAAAAATATCAAAGCAAGACTATGCCAAGCATCATATTAGCACAAGCAGCTATTGACTGTTTTTAATTCATTTTTACTTTATTTATGTCACTGCAGCGTACATTTTTAATGGTGTGTGTATTAAGTTCTTCGCCCTTTTGATGAATTAAGTGTTTATTATTTCCAAAAAAATATGTATAGGCTGCGTTTGCTGGATGTAAACAGTAACAGGAGAGAGGCAATCCATTCATGAAACTTTGTATATAAGTGTGTGTCAGTACTGTTATGTTAACAAATGATTTTAGGGGAAAAAATTTCAGCGAGAAGGTCATAATGTATTTCCTGGCAAGATTGCGTCTCTCTCCTGTTTTTCTTTTTCTTTTTTTTTTTGTAGGTCAGTTGTGTCTCCATCTGCTTTGTACGCTGCAGTGGAGTGAATGCATCTCGATTCCAGCTGCACTGTGACTTTATTTATACCTCTGCCTTCGGGCTCGAGAGCTACACACATGCATGCACTTTCCTCTCGCAAACAGTAATACAAGGCCTGACAAAACCAGGTTAGAATTTGGATGCTATACAAACTGAATGCTGTTGTTTTTTATGTGAACGTTACAGGTCAGTGGTTGGTGCTACTGGTGTGGAGTTTCACAGTGATCCAGAAGAAAGCCATAAGAACATTACACATGTTTTTGACAGATACCCCAAAACCTACTCAGCAGAGGTTCTGGATGTCTTTTTTTTTCATTTTTTATTTTCAATAATGCACTACAAATCATGAACACACTTTTAAGAGGCCTAAAGAACAAGAACAAAAAAAAAAAAGAAACAGCACACTGCATGCACTGGGGCACAATAGTACATTAAGAGTTATTTGAAAAAAAGACAATATTGTTCCTCCACATTAAAGGTGCACAGTATTTGGCATTAAGCACAGAAAACGGATCAAAAGCTACTGCAGCGGGACGAAAACTAACACACTGATAGCTGCTAGTTTTGCACTTGATGCATGATTCTTCATCAGCTGAGGCTACAGGTAGTAGTAGTGACACAAAACTGTCGTCATTTTTTGAAAAATATTCTACAAAAGTATATTACTCGTTTGCAATCTTTCCCTTTATCCGATACAGTATGTAAGGAAACATTAAAACCCTGCAATTTTTTTTTTTTTTCAGTAAAATTTGTGCCTTGGATGACGGTACCACACGTAAAAGGTACTCTTAAGTCTTCATCAACAGACAGATATTAACAGCATTAGAGGAAAGCTGACTTTGTACACGTACAAGTTGATACATATTGATTTCAAGCAATGCAAGATTTCGTCACGATCCCACAATTTCAACCACTTAATATTTTTTTTTAGCAAGAAAATATCGAAGTCTGTCCAGTAGTCTGTCCTCTCAGCAGGCGCAGCAGTTCCGATAAAGATACGACAAACTCCTACTGTCTCCTAGATGCTTCTGAATCAAATGCAATATATATAACATGCACAAAGTACAGCAATACAGAAAAAAAAAAAAAGTAAAAACATGAAGCCAGTGTCTTAAATTGAGCCATGTGGCTAAAACTTTTTAGAATATACACAATCTTACCACAAATATATTAGAACTACTGTATATAAATCTGATGAGGAAACGATAAAATGTTAAAAATACAATCTTGTACAACTGAGCTCATCTACTGTGGTTAGAGCTTCTGTTTTCAGCTTAATTCACCAATTTAGTGCTCAAAATGCATGTTAGGAAAATGGTTTGTGTGTAATTAAAGTCTGGGTAATGACAAAAAAGAGGAAATAGGTGGATTAAGCACAGGAAGGCTTTTGTTTTGTATGTTTTAGATATTCACAAAAGCAAGAAGATATGACAGAAGTCACAAAAATTGTACTTTTGGACAGATGATACGAAAACCTTAGTGTGTTTTATTGGTCTGAGCTGAAGGCAAATTATTCCAATGACAGTGTGAGCTTATAAATTAATTTAAAAAAAACGAACAGCAGATTTTTATAGACTCAACAGTTGACAAGAGCAGATGGCAGACAAACAACACTGAAGATGGAGTCAACGATGTAAGTTTTTCAAAGGAAATGAACATCAATGATATCTATACGTCAAAAAATTGTGTGCCAATTATCTCTGAAACTGCAAAACAAATTCAAAACGCAGCTTAATACGGGAATTTCCATTAAAAAGTGCAATGTTGAGAATTCATCGACTTGTTGTCCCACTTTTTGTTTTTCTTGGCATCGTGTTCATTGTGCTCTATAATTGTAATAAGGCCCTATCGTAACAACGAAGCTTCAATATTCATAGCGGAGCAGTTTCTCTCGTTTGTTCTCCTCAGTGTTTGGCAGTAACTCGCTATCAGACAGGAATGTACCAGCTGGTGATGAACTTTGTAAAAATAGATGTAAACAGTTTTCCAGTTCTCACACTTCACAAAGAGAGGAACTCAAAAACATCTCTCTCTCTCTCACATACACACAAAATAGATGGGTGGGAAAAAATATATGAAATCCTATTCTTTTTGTGCTTTCTATGAGTACTCTTCTTTTTTTTGTTGTTGTTTAATAGAAAATCATCCTAAGTCAAATGTTTATCTCCTGGTCTTCGCCCCTCACATGGGTCTGCCCGCGGTGGGTTTATTCACTTTCTTCTCGTAGGACCCTTGATGTTTGTATCCCGAGACGTATCCTGAAGTGTCAACTATGTCTACTCGTCCCGCCTTACCCTTCCCGCGGCCGGTGTCGTCGAAACGCTCCTTGTGCGACCCTGTAAACTTGGTGGTGTCCGTCAGGCGGCTCACCGTCGGGGAAGCCACGGCTCTCTGTGGGGAAACACTTGGGCTGTGATCGCAGGTAAAAACAGACACGAGGAAGTTTGACATAAAAGCAGAAATCGTGGGTGTCGTGGTGGTGGTGGTGGTGGTCATGGAGAGCCATGAGGAACATAAAAGTGCTGTTGCTGCAAATGATGCAAGAGAGGAACGCTGGTAGAAATCTGTTAATCGTGTAAGTTAATTCTTTTATACCTCAGCGCACTCTCAATGCAGCTTTTGTAACATAACAGCACATTGGAGCTTGAAGAAGTGCGTTCAGGTGTGACACAATGTCCCTTAATGAACAACATGTGGAAATAATTTTAGTTTTTGGCCAAATCAAAGTGAAATTAATGCTAGTAATTGAATATATTCTGTGATAAATACCAACAAATTGATCTATTTTCAGAACCAGCAGTGTAAAACAGACTTGGCAGCAAATCTTTTATGCATTTTCTGCAACTTAGTGCATACAGGTTCCTGAGTAAACATATGAAGTTAGTGCTACTGCAGCTGTACAGCTTCATCACTGCCATTATTAACATGCAGGTTTGCAGATATATAATGTATTCACTGAGATGGGACTCATCAGGAAAAGCTGATTTAAATCTCTGCACAGAACCTCATCTGAAGCAAGTTAGCTGTGCAGCATCACCTTCCATGATGTTAAAAAACTCTGACTTTAGGCTCAAACTACCTCGCTAACCCATTAATTTCACCGAGCAGTACATTGCTTCTGATGTGAATCTTAAAAATCCAGTCTTACTGTGACTCCTGCGATGACCGGCCCCTTCCCTTCGATCAGCTTGAAGACCTCGGCCTCGGCGTCCTCTCCGCTCTTCTCTTTATACTTCTTCCTGGCCAGCTCCCCGAGCGCCACCTTGAACTCGTCAAAAGTGATGGTGCGACAGGATTTCTTCCTGAAACGTGGGAGGAAAAAAGGAGCTTAAGTCAAAACACTCGTCACGGCGTGGAGCCTTATTATCTCGACGGATTTATCTGCTCAACCGCCTCTCCTGGGATAAAGAAAATTGCTGTATTAAGGTTTGCTTTATCAGCAGGGTTTGCAGTTTGAAGGGTTAAAAAGACAGTGGCGGTAGTGTACACAAAGCCATGTGTGATCTCTTCATCGTGGCAGATGTATGACACAGCTTGGAGATGGTATCCTGCTGGGATAAACAATGAGAAAACTTTCACTGTTTGGATCACGGTGCGTTCCAGCGCTGAAGTGTCGTCTGAGCAACTCCACAGACTCACAGCTGCAGACTGTATTTGTGACTGTCTCTTTATATCATCCGTCACACTCAGACCTCGCTGTTTTTGATTCCAGTGGGGACACTTGGACCCGCTGGATGCAACTGAGCACCTGAAAGGGGTTATTGTGAATCAACGTGTTCTCATTAATAAGATCAAGCGCCGAAAATAAGACACGGCAGATCATCATCATCCATCACCCGCCCCGTGAGAGTGCTCCAGTTGTTTAACTGGCCATTTGCCTGTTTCACTTCCATGTTAAAAGTGCATAGTAACACAAACACAAACAGCCATCGCCGTGGTGATAAATCACCTAAACAACGGCCCATAAAGCCTACAGTCTCCCCGGGCAACCTGCTGCCATAGCAACCAGCTACAGTAAACAGACATGTTTGGGTTTATTATTAATTCGACTGGTTCTGCGACCAGTTTTGTTTGGGTGATCCATCAGTGTTGAGCATCTGAGAGCTCCGTTCCTCTGCGATGGTTCAACGCTGCGTATTGTCAGTCGGTGGGGGGAAACTGGACTTTCAGCTGTCCACGGAAGATAACTGTGTCTTCTCAGTTCCCCCCAACGCGTACAAAAGGTTAAGTCATGTAAATAAACAGCAAATCAGAATCCAAGGAGGCGGAGATGAGGGTAAACGAGACAAAGGTTAGAGGGCGAGTCCTAATTTTAGTCTGATCTGCTGTCTGTTTACATACTTCAACCATCTGCAGCACAAGATGGGATACAGTAGTTGGCTGTTTCATGATCGCGCTCACTCATGAGGAAATACAACCAAAGCCACCATAAGATGCTAATTAATTCATCCACGCCAGATTTCGACCTCATCCATAGTTTCTGCCGCGTTGTTCTGGCTCCGAGCAGGCAGAGCTACCTCCAGAATAAGCAGTGACTCATTGAGCCGTGCTGCGATTAGCCAGTTGCTCATTAGGATGTTTAATTTTTCGCGTGCAAGTAAAGAGCTTTGACGATGATTAAAAGCAAACTGCATCTCTGGCATGAGAGGCAGCCCTCCATCCTCCTCTCCCCCCCTGCCGCTCAGTCATGCCTGGAGTCTATGAAAATGAGCCCCTCCCCCAGCACTGTACCACTTCATATCCTGTGGGTGGCTCTGAAGTGGGCACCCACCACATGCTTAGCTCAGATTTTTACTGTACCGTCCCTCTCAGTACACTCTGGAGCTGGGAATCTGGTTGAAAATGTCACGCTGGACTACCTAAGACACCAAACACAAAAGACCTGCTTTTCTTCCTTAAACCTCCATGGCGGCTGCAGCATATTGTTTGCACATTTCCAAATATTGCTCACCAGCAGAGCGGGATGTAAACACGCCTCGGTCCCACCGTCAGCTTTAAGCTCTCCCTCTCTCTAGTCTTGCCAAGAAAAACCTTTGTAAATATAAACACCCATTGCCATGCCAACAGTGAAGGTGTTGATGTGGGTGACTCAAGAACCGAGGGATACTTCTTTGGCTCCACAAATACGAGAACGTTGGTTTACAGTAAGAGGTGACAGCTGAAATGCTGACGGAGCGTTCAGGTGTTTGCGCATGTTTAACCCTTAAATGTCATTTTTCAAATATTATTATACCTCTGATCCCTTACAGATATCTCAGGTTAATTTCTCTTGGGAACACTAAAGTCTTTTTTAGACGTGGGACTATTTCTGCTTCGTTAATCTGTTAAAACGACAAAATTTAGACATTTATCACTTTTGAAAATCGTCATAGCTTCATTCAGAAAAACCCACCACAGCGACAGAAAGAGCCGCGCTACAATATTTGTCATACAAACGAGATCGAACGTCATGACACACATTAGATAATAATGCACTAATAAACAACCAACTTTATAATTTCCAAAACACTGAAAATTCTGTCCATGTGTGATGATAAACGAACTACTACTTAACCAATAGTACAACAATAATATTCAGACGAATTTGAGGACAGCCCCTGTACGATTTAGCTGCAGCTGATAAACTGTGACCGCGCTGTTAGAGCCGAATCCATTCTGTCTCCATGTCGGGAATAATTTATATTTCTAAGTAATTCATGAACTTCCTGCTGCTGTTTCACGTGCGTAAAAACACGCAACTATCAGGGGACGCTCACATTGATCCTGCTGCTGTTTGATGCTTCAGGTTTTAATAAACTTTAAAGGAAATAGTCCGAAACAGCAATAAGCTTGAACTCCTGTTATCGTTTTGTCAGAGTCCTTTATTATTGGTGAATCTCATTAATCAGATCTTTTACAGGCTTTGTCTTCAATGCAGAGAAGTTAAATCTATATTCAATTTGTAATAGATGCAAAGCTGCAGGGTGAATATTGCACTCTGTGATGTTTTTGGATAAATATTTGAGTGGAACTATGAAAAAAGCCTTAACTTTACTTCACACAAACCCAAACCTACGTAAGCTGCTTGTGCGTGCCTATCAGCTAATGTAAGTGGTTCAGACTTGTGCCATGTTAAAAGTGATGCAGAAATGTTACTTGGTCCGACCCAGTGAGGCGAAAACGTGTTTATTCAGACATGAAGCAGACAAGTTCAGTTGCCATGAGAATAATGGAAAGGAGAGCACGTCTGAAAGGGGCTTAAATGGATGTATCGGACAGTTCAGGGCCCTTCAATCACTCTGAGGGTCTTAGGATAAAAGAAAATGCTGTTTTGGACCAAACCTATAGTTTCTGTGCTATCATTTGACAACACTGCACAGATATAGCTTAAAGCCAGTAGAAAAACAATGTGTTTTAGACAGAAACATTGTTGAGGAGATTAGCCATTTGGGGAACACCATAAGGTGGGTACTCAATTAAATAAAATGAATGAATTAGACAATGTGTGAGAGTCTATAGAGCTGCAATGATAAACAAGTTGTTGTCAATTATTAAACTAGTCCCCAACTTAATTGATAATTGATTATTGTTTATCAGTTTGAGTCTTATTATTCTTCTTAAATGTGAATAATTTCTAGGTTCTTTACTGCTCCAAGACAGTAAACTGAATATGTTGGAAATAACATTAAAAGTAGTTGTTGGTTGGGTGATATAGTAGAACTCAAAGTTGGCATTTAAGGGTTAAGAGCAATGAAACCTGCATGACCCTTAAAGGAACTTTCTTTATGCCAATCATAAAAAAGGTGTAGCTTACAAAACCCGCTGGCTTTTATGTAGTCGGCTACATGGAATTGTTTCCGCATTGTTACTTCGCGCAGCCAAATCCTATTTCAAACAGCCTTGAGCTCGCAAACGTGAAGCGGTGGCGCTCGTGTTGGGATCCGTTGTTATGACTCAGATGATGTTCTCCACCCTTTCGGGGTGTAGGACTGCGACGGATTAGGCTTCACAAATGGTCAAATTATAGACATGCATTCACTTTCATTCACAGCATTTGAAGCCATATTAACGGAACTGAACAGGTTGTAGTTACGCCACATGATGTTGATGCCTTTCTACTGTACTTTATGTTGGTAGCAGCAGAACACTGACCACTGCTTTAATAAAAATACAATAAACAGTCTTAAAATCATTAAAAAGCATTTTAGAATCTCTTGCATGTAAGTGTGTACAGAAAACGACTGAGATTGAACTCCAGCTACGTGCGAGCAGAAGATGGAAAATCCACTAAATCAATATGAGATTCTCAAGCAGCCCCTTTTTCACGGCCTCTCTGTTCCTGCAGCGAGACACGATGACAAGTAGCTTCCAGCCATTCTTCACAATTCTGGTGCCGTCTAGCAGAATAATCCTTATTCAATTCATGCAACGGGGATAAAAAAAAAAGAATTCAAAGCTGCTCTGTATATGAATGAAATCTCCAAAATAACCATGCGCAAAGCCACACAAGCCCACACTGTAAAAGCCCTGTCGCCTTTTTTTTTTTTTTTTTTTTACTCCAGATTTACTCCGCGCTGCTACACACAAGCACCTCGCTGTGTACGAGCAATAACAGCGCGACACAACAAATTCTGCACGTGGTGTGGATGATATGTGCACTAATCTGTCAAGGTGTTATCAGCCCTACGAGTTTGCAGACACTCGCTCGGTAAACACAGCTGTGCAGATGAAAAGTCCTCCTCTGGTTGTCAGCTAATATTGAGGTCACAGCTTATTGCTGGACTGTACCTCATTTAAATCAAGCAGCAGAGGATGAATCAGTGCAGCCCGAGGAAAGAGAAGATGAGCCACTCTGGCCTTTTGCTCTGGCTGCTGTTTCTGAAAGTTAGCATCATCCAAGTCGAAGATAGAAAAGCATGTTTTAGAGTTTTTTTGAACTGACAATCATCACTGACTTCCTGACTCTGATGAAACTTTAGTAACAGACTGCACCGCCTGCAACGCAACATTCAGACCGTTTTTTTATTGGCCCTTCTGTGAGTTCAGGTCTTGTACAGAAAGATTACTGCCTGTTTTACTTGACTGGGAACTAAAATAACACTATTAACTCCCTCAGCTACATATAGTTGGGGTCATTTTTGCTTCTTACTTTGCTTTTCACTGCTCTGCACATCAGCTCTAGAAAGCTGTTTCCCCATGCTGAATGTATCCTCCCAACAACTCGCTCCTCTGTTTACTGTTGTCAAGCCATGATGCATTTATTTTATTGATCCAGTATGTTTTATGTTCCACTGTAACGTTCTAAATACATTGTCTCCTCTCTGCTCTGTGTAATCACAGCTTGCAGTTCTGCAGAAAGATTTTTTTTGTCCGTTGGTCGCAGCTGAGTCACGTGAATTTTTCAATTGTGCTGAGTAGTGCAATTTTTTGTTTGTCACAGGATCTGTGGCAAAACTGTTTTCACGACTTCAAGATTACTTTCTCCCACATAGCTGCTCATGATCAAGTCAAGGAACATTAGAAAGTTTGACAAATCTGTCTGTTTTTACTGTTTCTAGCTCTCACAAATGTCCAATTTTCCTTTTTTTTTCTGTTAAAGAAAACTTGCCTCTAAAACCAGCGAACAGATTTTGAGGTTCAGCGCAATAATTTCTCTGAATCTGACTGAAACAGAACAGAAATAGGCTTTGTTGTTCATTTTAGCAACCACTTCTATGGACACATCAATCTATACAGTCAATTACACAATTCTGTAACAGCACACCTGTAATAAAATCTTATCCAACCCAGATATTGTAAGGTTAATTAAGGTCCACTAAAACAATTAGACAACAGAAGATTAGAGTTCAAATAGGTTCAAAAACCATGTCTAATAATTTACTTTCATATTTTTCTCTTAGTGTACAGAGAAGTTTCTTACTTGACTTTGCTGAAGACGATGTCCACGTCGGTGAGGGTGATGTTCTTGCCGTCGATCACGCCGCAGTCCTTGCACAGCTTGGACCAGTTCTTGCCGTGCAGCTCCTTGCCGGTGGCGCGAGTGTCACCGTGGATGGCGAAGCGTCGAAATGACTCCTCTAAGGCGGTCACCTCCACCGGTGTGGACGAGCCCACACCTCCATCGCTGGTCCCGTTGGACTCGGTCGAAAGCCTTTTGGAGGCCCGGTCTTTAGACTGTGTGTCGCTGTGCGGCCGTAACGGGGCTGAGCTCATGTTGGGGTGCTTCGCTGTCTGCACTTTAAAGTCATCTATGTTGTCTCTGCAAGGGAAAAAACACACAACTAACTAAAATACAACTACATAATTGGCAGTAATTCCAGAAATGCAGTCATTGCTGCAGCATTTGTTGACTCTGCAAGTGGCAACATGAAATAATTCTGATAAATATTTGCAAGATATCTCATGTATTGAATCAGAATGAACAGATAAAGGAGAAAAATATTCACAGGCTACGCCTGGACACCAGGAGGGAAGAACAGGTATTTCAACAGAAACACAATCTGATCTGTTCTGCATGACTTGTAACGGACAACTTTTCTGCAGAAAGGCAGCACGCCTTAAGGTCAAGACCCAGCTTGCCGAATTGTTGCCTCTCTTTTTGTGTTCCGGGCAGGATCAGACTCTGTGTTTCTGTGCTCATGCTGCCTGTGAATGGGCAGATGTCTTACGTGTTCTGGCACAGAGGTGAAAGTTATAAATAGAGCTCTGTGGAATTCAAAGGCGCACAAATCAAGAAGCAAGAGAGCACATTGGTATCTGAAGTAACACACAAAATGTGAATTAGAGGCTCATCATATGCATTAGAAGACTTACTTTTGGTCTGCCATGCTTGTGCAGGAGTTTGCTTCCCTCTGTGCAGTGTTCAGATTAGCTGACTTGTGTTTTCTCTTTGTGCTGTGGAAAAGATGAGAAAGGAGGTGAGTAACGTGTCCGTGCAGATGACAGAGAAGAATCAGATGAAGGAGTTAACACCGCAAAAGTGCAACGTTCCATCAGTTCCTCTTCACTGTGCTGATACAAACACAGTTAATTACGACTAAAAGCTGTGACGAATAATCGATTAGTTAACAACTATTCAATTAACCTTCAGCTAGTATGATAATCAATTAATCAATTTGAGTAATGTTTTGAGAAATAAAGTCAAAACTCTTTAATTCCAGCTTCCTAAATTTCAATGTCTGGCTTCTTGTTTCCTCTATAACAATAAACTGAGTGGATTTGGGCTGTGAACAAAACATTTGTCAACTTTAGGAGCCACTGATGGACATTTTCCAGTATTTTCTGTGATTTTATAGACCAAACAACTAATCAATTAATCAGGATAATATTCCACACATCAATAGCAACTATTTTGACAATCAATAAATCTGCTTGGGATAGGCTCCAGCCCCCCCCCCCTCCCCCGTGACCCTCATGAGGATAAAGCGGTGTACAGATAATGGATAAATCTGCATGAGTACGCTTTAAAAGAAAAAAAAAATACTAAAAATCAACTTCTTAAATGTGAATATTTTCTGTTTTTTTTCTACCTCTATGAAAATAAACTAATTATCTTTGGTTTGTGAACAAAAAAAAATACATTTCTGACAGTTTATAAGCAAAGCCACTAATTGATTACTAAAGAAAATAATCTAGTATTTAATCAACAGTGAAAACAATCATGAATGCAGCCCGAATAATGACATAGCTCCTAATCTGATACAAACAAGCAGCACTGCATTCAATTAAAACCTCCAGAACAAGATCCAAATCCTCTTTACCATCACTACAATCAGATCACTTTCTGCTAGCTGCCGTGCTGTTTGTCTTGACACATCTTTCCAGGCGTACATCTGCCTGCTGTGCTCTGACTTCACTTCTCCCTCTTGCTCTGGATGACTTCATTCATTCTGGGATTTCTCTCTAAACACATCATCCAGGATTGCATCCAGCAGCAGCAACAATTCTTCTTCTAAGGTAATCGCACAAAGAAACAGGCAAAGAAAAAAAGCAGCAGAGGCCACTCGTGTGTTTCTGTAAAGATAACGTAATCCTGCAGCAAGTCTCTGCTCACCTTTCAGCTGTTCCCATAATCAGCACTGCATCCTTACAGAGAGTGTGTTGCCATGGCAAGGAGCATCCCAGCAAAGTCTCTTGAACTATTTCGCGATAGCTGTTTATTAAGATGCAAACCAGTCAGAGATGCGCTGCCCTGTGGACCGCACCGCCTGCTCTGGCTAACAAAGTTTCAGCAGCTCCCTCAACTTGCCAGTGAAGTGCTTCCACTCGCCCCCAGTGGCGATAGCGACGGGTTTTGTTTCCCCGACCCGCCGCCCAACAATCACAACTGTGACCTTTGCTAAGTCCAGTTGACACGAAACAAAAGTTTTCAAATACAAAAGATTGACCCTGCAAAAGGCCATTATAATCAGGATTCTTGGAGGGGGGGTAAAAAGAGATTATTAATGTGTATGAATAATGGCATTCAGAACTATGGACACTGGGAAGCCATTGTCTCTGTCTGAGCCATGGCCATTTCTTCACACACATGGTGACATCGCAGAGTACCACTATTGATGGATTCTGTAGTCATATGTCATCGAGGACGCAGGCCAGGACAATCGAGATGGAGTTATTGAGGTTGCTGAAGCCTCAGTGTCTCACCAGTGAAGTACAATGTAAACTAGAGTTATAGTACCACGGAGGAGAACAGAAAATCAGTGCACAAATGTGTAATATCCAACTGCGAAGTTCAATCACAAATAGAGCTGCAACAATTAATCGATTAGTTGTTAACTTTTGTGTTAATCACCAACTATTTGGATAGCTGATTAATCGGTTTGAGTGACCTTTTAGGAACAAGATGATTTATTTCTCTGATTCCAGCTGCTTAAATGTGATTTTTCTCTTCTTTTTTTTTCCAGTAACCTGATTATCTTGGGGTTGAAGACAAAACAAGACATTTGTCCTCTTGGACTCATTTGATAGACCAAACAACCAGCTTATAAATCAAGAAAAAAACGAGAGATTCATTGATTAATTGAAAGTAATCGCTAGGTGCAGCCCCACTTACCAAAAAAGATAACATTTTTTACGGGGTGTTCATGATTTACAGAACTGTGAACTACAATCTGGGTCCTAATTCAATGACTGATCACTTTCTTGTGTTTTCGAATTGTTCAGAAGTCTAATTATATTGGCTAGAGATAACGACAGAACTAAATCCAACACTGGGTTTTGAGATTGATTATAGTTTCGACACTACACATCTCTACCAAAGTTAACACTCAAGACAACTACCTCGTCATGATTTGAAGTAGTATTTGTAGCTTGCAACAGAAAACAATCACCAAGAAGTGGCTAGACAAGGAACTGAAAAGTGCAAAAATACATTTATTTAACATTTCAGTGCTAGATCATCCAGTGTGGTGCAAAGAGAAGCCACCTTAAACTGGGAGTGGCTGTAACTACACAACCAATCACGCACTACTACCAATCATAACTGTACAACATTTACCTTGTGTAAACACTATGATGTTAAAGCTTGAGTCAGAACACCTTCCCAAAGTTGTTCTAACTTTCTGTAAGTTATTGAAGATTGTCATTCAGTAGCACAGTGTTATATGTGATTTGTGAAGAATGTGATTGGTGCAGAGCTACAGCCACCACAGATTTTCTCCGGCCCAGAAAATAAATGTATTTTTGCAAGTTAGACAGTATGGAAAGGTCTGTTCCTCTCCTACACATCTGCCTCCTGAAATAGATGTGTGAAGAGATTCTTTATCTCAGACATGAAACCGAAAACAAAAGCAGAATTAATAGTAATTCTGAAAGTGATACATGATATGAAGCAACTGACCTTCGCTTTAAGACACACTTTAAAGGAGACTACATCGAGTATAGAGGCTAGAGTCTACATTTTCTGATTCCAGCTTCCGAAATAAGAATATTCTCTGGTTTCCTTCCTCCTCTATGACAGCAAAATCTTTGGCTTGTGGACAAAACAATTTTGGGAAACAACGATTGACATTTGTCATCATTTTATAGACAAAACAACAATTCAATTCATCAAAAAAGTAATCGACAGACTAATCAACAATTAAAACAATCATTGGTTGCAGCCCTTGTAGTTCCACTAAGAGCTCAATCAATAGAATTATAATGTAATGCAGTAAAATGTGTGTTTTTACAGTAACAAAAACTCGAATCAGACTATGTCTACCTTCCTGCGGTGTGAGTTTTGATGCTGTTGGGTTCAGTTTTATACAGAAGCTTCCACGCTGAGGTTTCATCGTTATTATTGACTTTACTTTCAGCGGGGATCCTTTCAATAGAGTAGCCTCTCGCTGTGTGTTTTCCTTTGTGCTTCAGTGACAGCAGCAAAACCCCATGAGAAACAAAGGCGTCTTTTCACTCTCCTCCTCCAATTTATTGTCAGTAGCTTCAAGAGCCCAACTCCACAGTACAACAAGCCTCCTCAGACCACATCATGTTCAATAAATAAGAGAGAGGTCATGAACATTGTACTGAGTTCAGTAGAACCCACACTGAGATGAAACACTGTGCGGTTCGTTGTGTTGTGTTTGGCCAAATTTCCTCGCTGATGTGAGGAAAACAGACAAACGCAACCGTTTAAGTACGGTTTTGTCTTGTGCCGCTTTTTCTGCCCCACTTTGCCACATAACAAACGAGAGGCCATTTGGTTAAGGGCAGATCTCCAGAGACAAATCTGCGACTGGATGACAGCATGCTTACATACACTTGCCTTCTGGCAACGCGCTGCACAGATGAGTGCGTTGACTATAAATTGACCCATTTTAAACTGCGTCTATTCATAGCAACAATACACCGCCATGACTGGAACATTCTATTCATTCTCAAGGGAGGAGATCAGGCAGGAAATGCAGGCTGAAACACCAAGAAACAAACATTAAAATTTGGTGTTTTTAAGCTGTTAGTTTGGCAGATGGTGTTTAACTCGCGAAATGATGTCACTGTTGTCGGAGCGAGGAGTGGGAGAGGACGGCGGTGTTTAACAGTAGCCTACATCATGCCATCACGGTGAGTGGGCATGCAGAGATCCCATCTGCTTTCAATCCAGATCAGTCTCCTTTCAGGCAGCTGCTCCGGAATGTGACCGCGTCAGTCAATCACGAATGTAAAACAGAAACTACCACCCCCCCCCACAGTCTGCTCATCTGGGTCTTATGTAGTTCACTGTGTCTACCAGCGTCGGGTTACTAGTGAATGAGGCACGCGCTGCCGAACAGGGCCGCTAATGCAAATTCTCGTGGGTGTTCTTGGAGTTGGAGGACTTGCGCCATGTAACCTCCATGTAACCGGTCTAAATCCAGCAATTTGACGCTTGTTGCGAGTTCTAGTCTTAGCTAGAGTCCAATCAATAGACTTTGGAGGCCGAAACCGATTTTAGGGCGTAATGCGGTAGTAATGCTGTTCACAAACTAGTTATCAAGTTAGTACGAAGAAACGGCTTGACTCTGCTCCACTGTCTGCTCAGCCCTGATGTGTACTCTGCTACATGTGCTGCAGACAGTGCTGTAAACGATGGAGTCAGAGCCGAACTATGAGATGACACTGTTTCTAAGTTACCCCAAGTATTTTTTCCGGTGTTATGATCTGTAAAAAATGTTCAGTATCAGCTATGTACACTCATGCTGATCTGTCTGTAATATGCCAAAATCAACCATTATTATCAATCAACAGATATATTGGTTGGATTCTAGTCTTAAGATTGTTTCAAGTTTGTAACACTGGACACCATGGGTCGACTGATTAGCACTGTGGCCGAGCATTTTCCTGATTATCTGCACATCAAATAATCGTATCTAAAAATGACCTGCTTTGGCTCTAGTGCAGGAACCTATCACTCAGTGGACTCTACAAATGTCCTGCCCACCGGTCCATCTGATTGGTTACACGTCACAAGTAACAGCCAATCAACACGGAAAGATAAACATTCAAAAGTTCTCTTTTAATTAAACAAATGCAAAATCTATATAAGCTAAAGCATTTCGATTTCATTTTTGTTCTGGATTCTGAGTTATTCTAAAATTTGACACCAAGATTTAAATTTTTACTGTGAATGCATATCAGTTACAAACATTGGTTATCAGTCGACTTGGTTACTAATAATCGTATCGATATTGGCACTGGACAAAACACATCAGTCGAATCCTTAAGGCGTTTCCTGCTGAATGATGTCACACAAAATATGGCTTCTACGACGCACAACCGTGGTAATTCAAATTCTTATGGGGCTCATAGTAAAGCTGAACAACATACAAACCCCCCCCCCCAAAAAACATTATATTTTTACAGATATATATGGGTCTTGATCTTACTGGTACCTGTAATGATGTGTTTTTTTCAGCGCCAATACTGCTTATTAATAATCAAGGACAACAGATATTTGGAGCCAACATTCATTTGAAATAAAAATAAAATATTTGGTATCAAAAAGACAAACTCTGACATAAACTTAAATTAAATGTTTCAGTTTACTTGTGTTTTATATGTTTAAATAAAAGAAAACTTGTAAACATTTATCCTTCAGTGTTGACTGGTTGTTACTGGGTGAGGCGTCTGCATCAGAGCCAAAGTATAAAGTAAGTAGGACTTTATCTGACCCTGGTTTAAAAGAGTAGCAACACTGATAATCAACTGATAGTTGATCGCTTATCATTTGTACCTTCAAAAAAATATTTAAAAAGTGCTACGATTTTTGCTGCTAACTGTACTAAACAAGCACGTTTCCTCACATTGGGGGAGTATTGTTTGGAGGTCAGGACATCTCTGTAGCACCACGATACCTCGTTCATACTGATATATTATGACACGTTTTATCTATAGATTGGACTTTGGATATTGGACTTGCAATTTATATAATATTTCAAGTGACTGTTCAGTTGTAGCTCATAAGACGTGCAGATTTAACCTCAATGTCTCCAGCAATTCAATAATACAACGTGCTACAAGTTATAGTTTTAACTCTGACACCACAAAATGTAACGTCTTAGCCTTTTCCCATTTTGGCCACAGCTCCCAGTTCTCACTGTGCACAAGGAGGAAAGAGGACATGACATCAGCACGCTGCCGCCTGAGTCTGAGGTCACCATCACGCTGCCTCTGTCGGCCCTCACCTCCCTAAAGCTGCTCCATGAGCCAAAGATCTTGGCGAGCGGCGCGCCGTTAGAAAAATAAGATGTTTAAAACAAGCTGCAGCGGTTATTGTTGGCAGCAGCGGCGAGCCAAATGGAGGTATATGAGGAGGATCATTATGCAACCCAACATCTGAGGGGAACACATGAACAGCAGAAGTGTCCCTGACATGGCTCAGACGGAGACGAGGCCTGCCGGGCCAACAGCAAATTAACTCTGAGTGGAAAACACTTAGAGGCAGGTTGTGTTGTGCGATGTCTTAACAAATTAATCTAGATCACTTGTCTTTGCAGTGTCATGGAAGCGCCACATAATCTTGCAACTGAAAAACCCCAACATTGTGCTGTTGGGTGTCGCACTGCAACGCTTCGTTTGTCCAAAGGCATCCCCCTCCTTGTTTGTATTTTGCAAAACTGACGTGAATTTGAGTCAAACTAAATGGGATAATTTACACTCTGAGGTTAATTATTTGTGACAGAACCCGAAGGCTCTTGGACCAGTGCAATGAAACCAACAACAGGGAAATCTGGGACAAGCTCAGTGACTATGTCTTCTTCTCAGGCATACCTAATTTAACCTATGGGGAAAACATGGCAGCGGAGCCACTCAGAGAGAAGAAATTTATAATACTATTCTCACGATTGGTGTCTCTGAAAGCACAATAATGCACCAAAAGTTTCTCTTCTACTCACATTAAAGCCACATCTAATTCCACAATGAACAGGCAGTAATGTGGTTGCGTTATATTAATTTAGACTTAAGCAGAACATGCTGTCCTCCATTCACACACACTCAGCATCAGGGAGCTCATAAATGAGGGCATAAATCTTTTTTTTTTTTTTTTTCGTGCGTAATTATGTAACTACCTACACACAACCCAGCAGCCTGGCATAAAGGAGCCCAATGCCTTGTCACTCATCTTTTTTCTAACCATTAATGGAGCTTATTGGACGAGGCTTCAGTCTTGAGTTGAGAAGATAAACAGAGGAGGAAAAAGCTCCTGTTTATGTTACTGAACATGGCTGCTGCAGAGTCTGAGCGCGTTTTTCTTCGACCGAAACACGTTACATAAACTTGCAAATGCCACATTCACACAGAGAAGTCCACGTGATGCGTTTGTTATTGTCAGCCTCTGATGCAAGTCTGCCAATCCAGGGCATGAAGTCAGATCACACGCATGATGCCAGAGAAGCAGCTTAAACTGCAAATTTCACATAATAAAAGACATGCAAGAAGAAGAAGAAAAAAAAGGCTGTATTTGAAATCAGCTGCTGGTATTTGCGCAAAATAACAAAAAAAAACATGCAGATCTACCTTGTGGCAAAAACAACAGCTCCTGCTATTAAAGTAATTGTGCCAAAATTTGGTCACCTGGCGACGCAAATTCCTCCGGGTCGACTTCACCAAACCATAATTGCGCGTCGAGGAGCCTTTCAAGGAGTCGGGTTTTTTTTTTCCTCTCTCCCTCAGCCTGCTTGCCTGTGCGCTCAAGTCTGCCCGATGGTTCAGTCCCCCTGCGAGATGCTGAAGAGAAACCAGGCCGCTGATTGGCTGCTGCGGCTGCGCGACGAGCTGTTTTTCTTGCTGCCTCGTAGGCTGCGGTTCTGGAGCGCAGATGATAAACAAGAGCATCTTTTTTGGTTGCTCTGAGAGGAGGAGGAGGTGGTGGTTGATGTAAACAAAGGATTTTTTATTGATATTATTATTATATCACATGGAAGAATGTTGCAGCTTTGTTAATGAATAACCTGATCATGAGCCATATGGGATGGGAGCGCATGAGAAAGGGCAAATGAGTATTTTTAAACTGGGTTCAAGCACACAGGATGTCTTGACCAAAGGGAATTCTCTCCAAGGTCTACACTCTTCATATTTTAATGAGAGATTTCCTAATAAAATCTCACATTCTCCAGTGCACTAATGTGTTACACAACCAGCAGTGGCCCTAATGGCTGGACATGGATGGACATTATGTAACCTCCCTGCTGATGGTTCCACCGATAGAAAAGGAAAAAATAAAAAAAAAAGTGGCACCGAGCTCTCAGATATACGACTCGGGACACAGCAGCCAGAACATGCATGCCTGTGAGCGAAACGCAAGGATACGGTTGATCATGATGAAAGCAGTCTGGAGGGAGTGTAATCACCGAATGACATAATAAGTCGAGCTCAAGCCGCTTCAATTGCGCCACTGTGTGGTTGAAGAGGAAGTGATGGTGACTCACACTGTGTTTGATCATCACACAATCACTCTGAGGTATCACAGCTGGCACATCTGTGACATCTGTATTTGCTATCAAAGCATTTTGTAAAAGGAGGGAAATCCAGAGAGCTAATTACTAAATAATGTGAAGAATACTCCTTCATGTTTCTCAAACTGTGGCATCCTGTCCAAGTCAATCTTAGGCTGTAGAATAATATTATTAATATTAATATTAAGGAATTTTTTGTTTGTTTTTTTCGTTGTTTTTTTTACTGAACTGCTTGTAAATAATAGAGAATTTAGATACTCAGACTGATGCACACTTTCTAATCTAAGCT